CCAGTTTCAAGAGCTGATACTGGTGATCTGTGGAGGTGCAAATGCACCCTGCGTGATGGGAGATGTCTCCCTTGTTAATGTGTTAAGATGAAGATTAAGCCACCCCAAGCACAAATACCATAGTTGAGATAAGGATAGATGAGAGAGTAATAGAGCGTCACCAGGGCAGGGCGAGGTACATAATATCTGATCTTAGAAAGAATGCCAACAGTTTTTGAAACTTTTTTTATATATTTAGAATGTGTCCCTGGAAATTCAGCTTGTGGTCATTGAGAACGCCAAGGAATTTGGCGCTACAAATGATATACTTGAGTACCGTAAGATCCCTTAATTATTATGCTGCACCTGTCATTTCTTGTTTTGGTAAAGGTAGGATGGGCAAGTTGGAGAAGGTACAAAATGAAGCCATAAGAATTATCTTAAGATGCCCAAGAAATGCTATGATTGAGATAATGAGGATGGAATTGAATCTGAAGAGTATTGGGATAGAATTTCAGAGATAAATGTGCCTCTGCCATTAGATTAATGAGAGGTGGGGAGCTAATGAATTAATCCTCTCGGTTCAAAATGAGGGAAGTGATGAACAATGTATTTATTATTTATTTATTTATTTATTTATTTATTTATTTATTTATTTATTTATTTATTTATTTATTTATTTATTTATTTATTTATTTATTTACAAGAAGGTACAATGAGGGTTAACAAAGAACATAGAAATTAAGTTGAATTTACATTATTGTAAAGCCACTAGCACACATAGCGTTTCGGGCAAGTCCTTAAACTAACATAATTTTTAGATAATTTAACAGTAAAATTGACAAAAAATGTTTACAGGTACATTGCAAGAAATTTTGACACAAAAGCAGATTAGAATAATACACAATAATAAATACATAATAATGAAACAAGGATTACTAGGTACATTAGGATAACGTTTCAGGGTAATACATTGGCACACACTCGGCGTGTGTGTATGATAAAGAGGAGAGCATATATGAGTACCTTATGCTCTAATGTTATAAAATATGATGTTATTACAGAATGTATTGATCTGCCTAAGAGACAATTCACGCCACTATGGGAGGATTGTAATGTAGATGTAATAATTATTCCCTTGCAAAAGAAAAAAAAGTATGTATAAGATAGGAGAGCTGAGGGCAACATATGATTGTATAATTAGAAAATTACCTACATAAAACACTCTACATGTATACTGTGATGAGTTAGTAGCTAGGGATGGAAAGGCAGGATGTGGAGTCTTGATCAGGGAGTCCATTGACATCGGCACTGTAGATAGTTATTGGACGCCGCTTAACTGACAATGTCTCTTCAAGGTGTATTAGGAGGATTACAGGAAGTATTCTGTGGACAGGATAATTGAACTCCGGCTTAGTAATTATATATCATCCACACAAGCTGAACTGCAGGCCATTCTGGCGTGTTTGGAGGAAGTACGTCATGACGACAAAAATGTTTTTGTATTTGTCGATAGCCGAGGAGCACTGGAGTCCTTAAACAGTCGAAACCCAGTCTTCATGTCTATAGCGGAGGACTGTAAGAGAAGAATAACTGAGATACAGCTGAAAGGTTATAGTGTGAAATTCATGTGGATTCCGTCTCATGTTGGAATAGTGCTCAACGAGGTGGCGGATGACTTGGCCAAACGTGCCACATCAAAACCACAAGTTGACATTGAATGTGAATTCACAATGAGACAAATAAGAAGCAAAATCAGAAATATTCAGGCACAGGCGGGAGTGGAGAGGAGAGAGATAATGTATGAGAGAAGTCAAACCATGCAACACTACATGTATGTGAGTCAAAACACCCATTTCACTTATGGTAAAAGGAGAAATGCTTGGAGTGACTCTGTGTACATGCGGCTCAGGCTTGGGTACAAATATTACTGGGAATATGGGATAGATGTTCATGGTAATGACACGAAGTGTAAACTATGTGGTATGTTAAGGTCTCACACCCTTGCCCATTATATTCTTGATTGTCCGTTGATTAATGTATATAGAAACACTGAGATAAGGACTGTTCCTGAACAAATAGCCTGGATGTGTCACAACGGAAAGGTTGATGATATTCTTGAGAGATATAAGAATTTTGCACCAAGATTGTAATATTTTGTTGAATTATCTGCAGGTGTCTTGCAAATTGTCTATACAGTATACCTAGGTCATAAAAGTATTTGTGTGTACGTCTGATACCATACTACTTGTGAGGGAGGAAATGTATATTTTTACCTCTCAGAATGTTTGGTAATGTGTTTATTTGTGATGTGTGTCTATGTATATATTAACACGTTGTACTGAATGGGGTGAGAATAGCTTGAGCTACCTCATCCCTTTGTGTGTATTTTACCTCAATAAACTTATTTCAATTTCAATTTCAATTTACAGGAAGTAGTCAAATGTGGTAAAAATGCCTGCTTCTTTATTGACAGTAGAGGAGCGTTAGAGTCTTTAAATAGCAGACGCCCAGTTTACCAGAATATTGTGATAGTGTAGAGAGAATGTTAAGAAATTTGATAAAACTAGGTATAAAGTAAGATTCATGTGGATCCCTTCACATGTGGGAATACTGTTGAATGAGGTAGTTGACGAGATAACGAAGAGAGCCATGGAAAAAACTCTTGTTGATGTTGTATGTCAGATAACCTTGAAACAAATAAAAACAAGAATCAAGTTAATCCAAGAGGGTGAAGAAATGGTAAAGATCCACATGAATCCACATGAATGAAGAAATGGTAAAGAGAATGGCAATAGTGGACAGTAGTAACACACTTAAGAATTATTCAATAATAAATACAAATTCCTCCTTCACCTATGGTAGAGAAAAGTCTACTTGGAAGGATACAATTTACATGAGATTAAGATTAGGATACAAATGTTCTCAATTCATTTTATACTTTAATCTCAATTAGTATTAAGTTTTAGTCTTTAATGTTTTTCCTGCCTGAAACGCTTTGCGTAATAGTGGCTTTAGGCATTGTATGTACTAGCTATAAATCTATCAATTTTTGTAAAACATCTTGTATGTATGTACTTTACCCGAATACACATTTAGACATAGACATAGCCTAAGCTACTCTATCCCTTTGAGATGCATTTTTTTTCTTGTCTCAATAAACATACTTGAACTTGAACCCAGGATGATGCACATGACATCTTTCTGTACTACTGTACATCTAGGCCTTGTAATTGTTTAGGGGAAAAGTTAAGAAGATGCAAGGCATAATAATCAACAACAGGTCGTATAAAAACTACGAGTATATATTATGTTAATGTCAAATCCTTTGCCCCACCATGCCACACTTGGTCCGGGAGACATCTCCCGTCACGCAGGGTGCAGTTGCGCCTCCACAGATCTCCAGTATCATCTTTTGATACTGGTAATGGCTCGAAAGGGCCACCACTTACGGGCTATTCATGCCCGTGCCACCTCTTGGGTGACTTAATCTTCATCAATCATCAAATCTACTCATCCACGGGAGACATTTCCCGTCACGCAGGGTGCAGTCGCACCTCCACAGATCTCCAGTATCATCTATTGATACTGGTGATGGCTCAAAAGGGCCACCACTTACGAGCTATTCATGCCTGTGCCACCTTTTGGGTGGCTTCATCTTCATCTTAACACATTCACAAGGGAGACATCTCCCGTCATGCAGGGTGCATTCGCACCTCCATAGATCTCCAGTATCAGCTCCTGATACTGGTAATGGCTTAAAATGGCCACCACTTACGGGCTATTTATGCCCGTGCCACCTTTTGGGTGGCTTCATCTTCATCTTAACACATTCACAAGGGAGACATCTCCCGTCATGCAGGGTGCATTCGCACCTCCACAGATCTCCAGTATCAGCTCTTGATACTGGTAATGGCTTAAAATGGCCACCACTTACGGGCTATTTATGCCCGTGCCACCTTTTGGGTTGCTTCATCTTCATCTTAACACATTCATAAGGGAGACATCTCCCGTCATGCAGGGTGCATTCGCACCTCCACAGATCTCCAGTATCAGCTCTTGATACTGGTAATGGCTTAAAAGGGCCACCACTTACGGGCTATTCATGCCCGTGCCACCTTTTGGGTGGCTTAATCTTCGTCAATCAATCAATCCTTTGCCCACAAGAGTTTTGAGAGGTTTAAGACGCTCAACAAGTATTTTGCACAGGTTGCTGATGAGATTTGTATCATTAACTTCGACTCCAAGATATTTATAAGACTCGCAAGTCTCCACGGGCACTCCATTAATAGTATAGTTAACATGAAGATAATGGGGAATAAGAACCCTTGTTTAATCAACAGATTATGAGGCCAGATTCTACTACTTTCTTGGAGAATACATCAAGTAATCCTTGTAACCTTGGTTTACTGTGTGCCATAAAACAAATATCATCAGCATAACATATAACAGTTTCAGTAGGTTGTACAGGTATGTCATGGATAAGTTTGTGCATAAGTACAGTATATTGAAGAGCATAGGGCTTAAGGACACCACCTTGAGGTGTGCCTAGTTCGAAGGCATCTTGTACTTTTAATTCCTTTAAGTAGGACACTAGCACGCCAGTTGGATAAGTAGCTCTTTATTCAACTCAGAAGATAACCCTTGATTCCAAATTCAGTAAGCTAGCTGCTATAATATTATTTCGCCATTCGCTACATCCAAAGCTGACTTTAGGTCAATAAAGGCTGCCTGTGTCCCATTCTGGGAGTTTACAAAATATTCAGCAAAACATGTTTGTGTGCTACAGTTGGGCATATTTTATTGTGAGGTGAATAGAGGCAATAGATGAGAGGAAACGTGCCCAACCATTTCTGTCATTTTGGGATTACCATTTGTGAAATAATTGAATGAAAATTGAGTATAGCATTTTGAGACAATTTTTAAATAAATAGTTATTCTCCCTTTTGTATTTATATTATAAAAATATGTACGGTTAATATATCAGAATGAGGAGCGCACCGCCCCCTTCACTTGTCCAGGTCACGTGACTAAGTCATCTGTTGTCGTCAGCTACTTTCCCTCGAGAAAGTTTCATTGAAAATTGTGCTGACCAGCCTCCCGACGTTGATATATCAAGTTGTTATATGCCAAATTGGGTAGTGAGTATGAGAGGAGGACGGTGAGGAGGAGGGTGAGGAGCGCGCGCGAGGCTGGTGTAGTGAGGAGACTTGTGAGTGTTGAGGCCCCGCTGCCTCCCGGGAATGTTTACACGGCGCGGCCCGCTCCTGCTGCTGCTACCCTGGAACCCTCGCTCATATCAACAGTCCCTCACATATACTAACTCTCATACTAGCGCCTCGTATATTTTGTGGTGGGAAAGACTTGTACGGTGAAGATGAGTCGGGTGGTCTAGTTGTGAGTTACGCTGATGTGGCCAGGTGACGGCGGCTCCCACAGTTTGACGACGGGATAACCCCCCCGGCTATTACGGCACCACTGCCTCCTACGGCACCACTGCCTCCTACGGCACCACTGCCTCCTACGGCACCACTGCCTCCTACGGCACCACTGCCTCCAACGGCACCACTGCCTCCTACGGCACCACTGCCTCCAACGGCACCACTGCCTCCAACGGCACCACTGCCTCCAACGGCACCACTGCCTCCTACGGCACCACTGCCTCCAACGGCATCACTGCCTCCAACGGCACCACTGCGGCACGACCGCCTCCTCCAGCACCACCGCCTCCTACGGCACGTCTGGCAATAATGATTATCGAGAGCCCAGACCTGCTGAAGCAGTGGCTGACAAGCTATCTGGCGCCACTGTAAGTACCATGTACAATGCTCTTCGTTAGCTTCTCATTACTTGCCTTGGTATAACACACACACATAATGGGACAGTGTTCCTCAAACTTCAGATCGTGACCCATTACTGAACAATGGAAGGCTATTCATTAGAGTGTGGTTTAATCATGTACGAGATGGTACAACAAACAGCATTTTCCAGTTGTAGGAAGTTTTACATTATTAAATTAGACTGTATTAGTCTAAGTTAGGGTGTTAAGCTTCATTGGATAGGTTAGAATGGGTTAGGTTATATAGGTTTTAATGTGTTGGTGAGCTGTCATATGTAATGGGATTTGTATTGTATTTACCGGAGGGTTGGTACCAGCAGTCCCTTATTATACCATATCTCGCATATTTCCCAGTATAACCTTTGCATGTGATTTAAATTAATGAAATGCTTAATTTGTAAGTTTTGGTTTTTTATATATGAATATACTGTACTGTGCATAACGCATGTTAGGCTTCATGAAATCATTGTTCATAAAAATATAGCCTGCGAGTGACTAATGTTCCCCACCCCCCCTGCTATTCACATGGACAAAACTGGGGCTAGCCAAAGGAAACAAGATGAAATTTATTATTAATGAATGAAACAAACTTGCTGTTATATGGTTCCCCAGTTTGCCCGAAACGCTTTGCGTATTAGTGGCTTTAGGCATGTACTTACTGTACTTAGGCATGTACTCAAGATAACCTCAAGATAACTTCTCTAACCTAAGAATCTTCCACCGTTCTTTTATCCTATGTATGTACAGTACTGTATGTATTTTTGTCTAAATATATTGTCATTATAATTGGAACTACTATTAAAAGTAATATAATTTAAGGCTAAAATATAAAGTTTTCTAAGAGCTCAGTTCATAGGCCAAATTTATTTGCTTTAGACTGCAATAAAAAACTGGAGCCAGTAAGAACAATTTAAACACCCTATAGATACATGAATGATTTGAACCATTTTTAATTACCATACTATATTGAGTAATTAAAGTACAGTATCTACTGTATTTTCCGGCATATAAGATGCATTTTTTTTATATTTTTAAATGTTTAAAAAAAAATTGCTGTGTCTAATGTAGCCGTATTACGGAAGTGAAATCAAGTGCCATAGGAAAGGGACCTGGACGAGCATACTGGGTAAGTTCGCTAGGCACAAAAATCATTGCTAATAATAAAATATGGAAAACAAGCCACATTATTACAGTAAATTGCAGTATTAAAAATAAAATATTGAAAACAAGCAGTTATCACGAACTTATGAAAAATTGCTTACGATATACGTCGGCAGTTATGAAGGAAGATCACATCATCTTGCCACCTTACCCAGCATACATAATTCACTCCTGATATGTCATACATAATTTAATGACGGTGTTACTTTTAAGAAACATTCATTATCTAAATAAAAAATGCTCTTTAAGCTTTAAAATGAACAGAATTTTAAACTCATCCACCTGTCAGCCATTTGCAATAAGTGAATAACAACAAAACCATAGTGATGCAATGGTGCGCCACCCGTGGGTGCGCTGCCCTGCTGTACCTAGTAGTGCAGCAACACAAAACATCACAGCCAGAAATACAAGTTTCACATCCTGTATAGCAATTCTCTTGCCCAAAATATAAACAATTATACAGCTGAACTTAGAGGAAGTAAGAGTTGACATCCCGTCTTCCATCCTTCTTACCGAGGATCTCGTCAATGGCCTTTGACCCGAGGGGGAGCTCCAGTGAGAGTGCTGCTCCCAGGCCTAATGACATGAACTCTGGGCAAGACAGATCTAATTCTAGCTATGATGTTTTGAGTTTGAGGAGACAACTTCACATTTGGAAGGGTTTAGGAAGAGACCCAGGTTTACTTCTTCTTTATTTGTCTGATGTCTTCCAAGAGGGGGTCTAGGGGGCCAGCTATAGTGCCATCATCCAAAATTTCTATTTATTATGTTCAAAAATTTATGAAAAATATTAAGAAATATGAGGAATATTGAGAAGTTTTAAAAATTTGTATATTCAGCACAGTCATGCAAATTCTATTATCAAATCACATTGTATTTTGCTTCTACTGCATTCTCTTGTGCATACATTTGCAAACATTTTGACTTAAAATTTATAGTAATTACCCAAAAATTAAGGTAGAAAACCTTGAGAGTATGAACATATTGTCACTGTACAGGGACCCTAAGGTGGCTGGAACGTTTATGATTAGGAATGTGCCAATGGGTCGGAATGTTAAAGTATTAACAGGAAAAGAATAGGGAACTTACTTATTGTACTTATTGAACACTTCATGAAACACATCTTGCTAATTCACACGCATCTTTCCAATCCTAGTTCTATGAGCTGTAGGCCTAGCCAACACTGACTTCTACATTCCAAGATTTTTCAGCTGAAAATACAAGCTCTGCCCCTAACTAGTAAGATCCAATCATGGCCATTCACAAATGAGCTATCAATCCTCAATTCAGTCTCAAAATCTTTTAGACCTACAAATGGTGATTTGGTGAGCACCCACTTTAGAAGTGTTTACTTAAGGGTACTATAGATGTTCCCATGACTAAAGAACGCCTATCCCTACCAAATGGAATACTATTTTCTACAGTCCTCACCTTTTACCCATTGTCTACCTTTATGCTGGTTCCGGGTATCAATGCCCCTGCTGTTCAGCCTCTGACCAGGCCTCCTGGTTGGTGGTCTGGTCAACTAGGCCCATTAGGTGCTACTAATCACAGTCTGACGTATGAATCACAGCCCAGTTGATCAGGTGTTTTGGAGGTGCTTATCAAGTTTTCTTTCAAACTCCATGAGAAGTCTGCTTGCAATTATGCCAAGGTTATGTAAGTGCAAATAGCACAAGAAAGTAAGTGGAGTGAGTGTATGTTTAGCATGTTTAGGGATTATAACAGAGGTGCTGTGTGTTGTCTGAAGTCAGAGTTTGTTACACAGTGGCATAAGCTTACAAATTTAATCCATTCCCAGAGACGGTTCGTAACCCAAAAATTCGCAAATTGAAGCAAATTTTCCCATAAGAAATGATGCAAATTGAATTAATCCGTTCCACACTCCCAAAAATATTTACTTCAAAGTAAATTTTATGCCTAATTCACCCAAATCTTTAGTATTAAAGTATGTACAAGTTATTGCTTATCTTTACTGATGACTTGTTGGCGTATAGAAGATGGTGAGGAGGGGGGGGGGGCTGTCAAGGGGCCTGACAGCCGAGTGGACAGCGCTCGAGATTCGTAGTCCTGAGGTTCCGGGTTTGATCCCCAGTGGAGGCGGAAACAAATGGGTAGAGTTTCTTTCACCCAGGTGCTCCAGTTCTCCTTAACATGTTTGCTGGTGATGCCAAGATATTAGGGAAGTTAGGAGATGTAGATGATTGTCTTCTCCTCAAATTGACCTAGGTAAAATAAGTGCTTTGAAATACCAGGTGGCAAATGGAATTCAATGTGAATAAATGTCATGTTATGGAATGTAGACTCGGAGAAAATAGATGAATGCAACTTGTATATATAGTTGCATTGGTCTTTAGTTGCAACTTTCCACATATAAATTATGTGGAAAGGAATTACATAACTCTAAGTATTAAGAACGAGACCTAGAGGAGGTTTTGGGTAGTGAGCCACACAGAGGAACACATAAAGAACATTGAGAGAGGAGCATATGCATCACTTTCCAACTTCAGACTTACTTTTAACTACATGGATTGTGAAATACTAAAAAAACTTCATGACTTGTGAGACCAAAATTGAAATATGCAACAGTTGTAGGGTGCCCAAATCTCAAGAAGCTCATCGATAAACTGGAAAATGTGCAAATGCATACAACAAAATGGCATCTGGAACTGAAAACAGAAGTTATGAGGAGAGGCTAGAGGCATTAGAGATGCCAAAATTTGAAGATAGAAGAAAAAATGTGATGTGATCACCACTTGCAAAATAACAACAGGAATGGACCAAATTGACAGAGGAATTCCTGAAACCGTCAATTTAAAGAACAAGCGGACACAGATTCAGGCTAAGGAAACAAAGGTTCCAAAAAATATTAGAAAGTTTTCTTTTACAAACAGAGTGGTAGACGGTTGGAACAAACTGAGGTGGTGGTGGAGGCCAAAACCGATAGTAGTTTCAAAGGTACTGGTAAATGTACCAGGTTCAGGTACTGGCTAGTTTTCACTGTCAGATGTTATACTTACTGAGTCAGGGTTCTTCCCCTTTAGCTTGAATCTGAGTCCCCATGTGTTTACCAGGTTGGCATGGGTCATTGTGGCCTAGCTACATCTCTGGGGTTCTTGAGTTGGCTTACCTCAATGACTGGTGGGTGGGAGTCTCCAGTCAGTCCGCATGCCAGTGATGGTGTTTTTTTCCCAGCTTGCCAGGTTCAGACGTGGCTGGACCAAGTTTGGGGACACTAGGTTGTCTTCTCTGTCCCTGCCTCTGGTGGTCTTGCTCTGCCTGCAGCTTTGTAGCCATCAGGTGTTTGATGGGGCCCGGGTGACTCGCTAATTGATTGAATAATCGGGCGGGAGCCTGAATGTGGCCTCTGTGGTATTCCCACTGGACAGTGTTTGGCTTTGGGTACTGTACTTGCTTGTCTGGTTCTGCCCATTTTCCAGGTCAATTTGGGCCCCACCTGCATTTCTAATTGTTGGTTCCGGGGATCCGTGTCCCTGCGGTCTAGTTTCTGATCACTAACAACCTTATTCAAAGTTGGAGGATATGCAGATAACTTTCATGGCCTGAATTCATTGTTAAACATTTAAATGATTGGGGCCACTTAAAATTTCTGAAGCTGTTCTCTTTATAGCACAGGCAAGAGATAAATAAGAATTTACATTTGAAAATAGTGGAAGGAGTGGTCCCAAATCTGTACACATAAATAACCACTTAAGAGAGCAGGAGACACTACAAAAAGTGTTAAAATAGTCCTTTTTGAAAATTAGAGGTGTAATGGGTATGCTAAGAAACAACAGTAGTATCAACATTTTGGAATGAAGTCTTTTCAAAATTACCTATATACATTAGGTGCATAACTAGCTGACCGCTCATTACTCAAAAGAGAACATGATAAACTCACCCAAAAGATTACTAATCAACTTGGCTGTAATACATATACAGTACTGTACTCAAGATAACCTCAAGTACTATATTAGGCTGTAAATGCTGGAATCTAACAGCCTGGCTGACCAGACTACCAACCACGTGCCTAGTTAGAGACTGGACTGCAGAGACAGTGATTTTCAGTACCACCTCAAGGTAAGGTTTACTGGTGAAACTACTTTAGAAAGGTGTGATAGACCTGATAATTGTTTGTCCTATTAGTGGTGCTGAGGTGGATATCTTGCATGTGGCCAAAAGATTAGCCAAGAACTTATTTTGGCAAATATCTTAATTTGTGTAGGTTATCTTGAGGTTATCTTGAGATGATTTCGGGGCTTTTTAGTGTCCCCGCGGCCCGGTCCTCGACCAGGCCTCCACCCCCAGGAAGCAGCCCGTGACAGCTGACTAACACCCAAGTACCTATTTTACTGCTAGGTAACAGGGGCATAGGGTGAAAGAAACTCTGCCCATTGTTTCTCGCCGGCGCCTGGGATCGAACGCAAGACCACAGGATCACAAGTCCAGTGTGCTGTCCGCTTGGCCGACCGGCTCCCTAGAATACGGGAACCCACCACAATAGCTGTGAGCTATTAAGGTGTTAAAAAAAAAAATGCAATTTAATACGGAATATGAACAGATCCCTAGTTTATATTAAATTACTTAAAACACTAAACTATTTTCCTTCATAGTATATTTACAAGTGTGGCATCAACTGAATTATACAGATAAAACTCCTGTCTTAATTTATGCCATAGATCCAACATGTTATTAAGCATATTGTAAGTAGCATAGGCAACATTACCCTTGTGTTACTTTGCTCATGTTTTTTTATTCAGTGTCCTTAATATATTTATTGATCTTTCAGTAGCAATGAATTTACTTAAAACCTTCTCCTCAGGTGTGATGCTGACCCCGAGGCATTAGCTAAATATTGTCTTGCTCTGGTCCGCAAAGACCGTCCTGTATCTGAACTGAAGGCTAGTATGATTGAGCAACTTGACGTTTTCCTTCAAGCAAGTAAGTATTGGTTTATTAGAGTGATAAATGTTCATTAATTATCAGATCTTAGTATTAGTATTCTTCATAATATAAAAATGGCTGTGTATATCTGTACAATTCTGTGCCATACTACATGACAATATTCATTATTTTCACACTGTTTTTATCCCTCAAATAATAAATTTCAAATAAATAAAATTTAAAAAAATAAAACTTGGGCTTTCGATAGAAAGTTTCTTTCTGAATATGTTTATTCTACTGCTTTTCAAGGTTCACAGTACTGTACTGTACAGTATATCCAATCCTGTCCTCTCATTTAATGCATTGCAGTTTTAATTCACCGAAGTTTTGATTGTATTGATCACAGCATCAAAATTTTGATGCTTTAGTGAAATTAAATGAACAGCAATAATAATGCTGCTTTGGAAAAATTTGCATTGACTTCAATAGTAACCTATTAAAGTCAAGCAGTCTCCGTGGTGTAGTGGTAAGACACTCGCCTGGCGTTCCGCGAGTGCTATGTCTCATGGGTTCGTATCCTATCCGGGGAGGATTTACTGGGCGCAATTCCTTAACTGTAGCCTCTGTTTAACGCAACAGTAAAATGTGTACTTGGATGAAAAAACGATTCTTCGTGGCAGGGGATCGTATTCCAGGGACCATAGGATTAAGGACTTGCCTGAAACGCTACGCGTACTAGTGGCTGTACAAGAATGTAACAATTGTATATATCTCAAAAAAAAAAAAAAAAAAAAAAAAAAAAAAAAAAAAAAAAAAAAAAAAAAAAAAAAAAAAAAATTGCAAATTTTTCCAAGTTTGGGTTCTCAAGTCTGTAATTACCCAAGTACTGTGGAACCTCAGTTTTCGAATGCCTGTTTTCAGATTTTTCGGTATTTGAGCTCAATTAAAAAAAAAATTGACTGTACCTGATCAACCAGGCTGTGACTCATACGTCAGGCTGCGAGCAGCCGCGTCTAACAGCCTGGTTGATCAGTCCAGCAACCAGGAGGCCTGGTCGACGACCGGGCCGCGGGGACACTAAGCCCCGGAAGCACCTCAAGGTAGCCTCAAGGTAAGGTAGGTACTAAAGGTTTGCCTCGGTACTTTGAGTTTGTTTATACACGAACGGGTCCACCGAGTGCGTGGTGTTGCAGTGAGGCACGCCTCAGTTTACCAGTGTCCAACCCCAGTGACGACTGCGCTTGAATTCTATGTAAAGAATTTAATTGTTTTTGTGCTTTTCTGTAGAGAACCCCTTCAGCTTCCTGGAGCTTCACGTCAGCTCCGTTCTGCAAGCTCTCTCATGCGTTTTTTCACCTGTGGCCTGCTCATGCGTCGCCCAAGCCTTCTTGGTCTTTGGACTGGGTACTCTCATTTCTCTCTTCTCTGTTTGTAGTGGCCCCTTCAGTCCGGGTTTGTTTTCTAAAGGCCTTGTTCTTGTTGGCTTTTAGCCTCTGGTGGTTGGGTTGGGAAGCTTCATACTCTTCTCTGGTGCAGGGGTTTCTGCTCTTTTGGTCCTTGGGGGTCACTTTGTTCGTTTGCAGACTTCTTCTTTTCTGGCGAAGAACGAGATGGCTGGTTTCCAGAGGAGTCCGTTGGTTGGTTTGATCGGGGGTGCATCATGTTTTGTGTCCGGTTGCGGCTTTACATTGCTAGCTATACGCTACTGGTTTAGCGACAGTAGACATGCTCTGGGTAGACCTGATATCCCTGGTTCCCTGTTCCAGGGCTTGCCTCTCAGGTTGTCCTCAGGGTTATTAAATCTAGCCAGCCTGAGGTCTACCCCTCGTACTCATGATGTGAGGAAGTATGCAGCTCTTGCTGCCATCTTTGGTACTGTCTTTGGTCGACATTCGGAAGCGAGGGTTTTGGAAATCAAACAGGATCCTGGCCACCAGATATCTTGTCAACGCTCTGGACCCTCTGTGGCCTTCTTTCCTTGAGGTATCTGTCGCAGCCAGGTGTCTCGTCTTCGCCATGAGACCTGCGGTGCTGCCACCTCCCGGGGTAAGTCCCTGTTATTTACTTACCTGTGGGTAATTAGCTTCAGGGTGCCGACAGGGCTCCCCACAGAAAACCAGCGTTGAATGTAATGAAACACCATTTTCTGGGTGAACCCTAGAGGCTCCTGACTCTCCGCCTTCGGTTTGCAGTTTTCATTATTCTACAAATCATTCTAGGGGTGGTTTCCCCCAGCTTGCCTAAGTGGGTGTGCTAGTGGGATGATGATTTACTTGTTTCACTGTTTTCTTTTGGGGGAAGTTCTTTGGCTCAGTTTGGACATAGGTTAAAATTTGAACCAGTTAGAGGTTTGTATTGTTTCGCCTACTTTTCTGGTGGTATTCCCGGTCGATGGAAGACATGACAAACTCTAACTGTAGAGGGCTCATACCGGCCATTGCTCTCTGCCCCTCTCTGAGGGAACCAGGTTCTGGTGCTGGTCTCCGGTAAGCACTCGAACTCCAAGGACAGATGGCACCAAACTAATATGGCACATGTCAATTTGATAACTTAAGGGAGCCTCCTGGGCTTCCCTGAAAATGGTGTTCCATTACATTCAACGCTGGTTTTTTGTTACAAAGTCGATCCTTTCAAGGTGCTTCACCATTCTTGACCTGATTACTTTCTCCACCACTTAACAAGAAATACTTTTCAATGACACTGGTATGTAATTTAGTGCCTCCTTTTTATCCCCCTTTTTGAATATTTGGATTACATGTGCCTTTTTTCCAAATTATTTGACTTTTTTCATGCACCTCAATCTTGAGTGGTATGAATTGTTCCATTGCATCGGCACATTTCCGAGTAGTGAATTCTATCATATTGTTTGCTGGCTTCCCTTCAATTTCCCTTCTTTTATTGGATTTCCTGCAGAAAGTCTTTCATTTTGTTGTAGTCCCCCATGTCTGTAATTTCTTCTTCAATGGGTTTCATTGTGTAACCAATTCCTTCAGCTCCACTATGTATTCAAGCATGACAATGCAGCAGTTGCTAGCTCTTAGAGGCATCTCATACTCTATTTTTTTTGAAAATCTGCTTCAATTTGGGAAATGCCAAATCTAGTGTTGCTGGTAGATTGCCCAAAAGGAATTTTATTTAGTTCTTATACTTGGTTCAAGGTTGCAATGCAGAGTTTGCCACTCCTATCAAGTTTTGCCTTTGGGCTTTTAATAACCTCATCTTTTTTGTTTACCATCTCTTGTAATTCTTGAAGCTCCCTTCCCAAGGAAGCTACATCTTCTTTAAGTGCCTGTATTTCTACTCCCCTTGTCCTTTTCTCCTCTTTCAACTCTTTGTGCATTTTTACATTGGCCCTCACTAGTTCATCCATGCTGTTCCGAAGGTCTACTATGGTAATGACCTTCCCTTGCTCCTCATTCATGTGTTCCTCTCATGCCATAAATTTCTTCCATGTGGTAAGGTTGATATCCTTTGACTGCTCCATATCTATCCTATTCATCCCTCCTAGCTGTCTCTGGCACTCCAGCAACACAGCAGGTACACCAGCTAAGTATGTCTTGCACTAATTACATAACGACCCACCCTCCCACGACACTGATAAGCGTTGTGGTAGCTCCTGGTCAGTCTTTATGTTGGGGCAGGTGGTGGGGTGGTGCATTCTCTTGCCTTGCCAGTGAGGTCGCAGTTGGTGGTCAGGTCATTCGCCATACTTTGTTCCACTAGTAACTCCACAATGCATTGCAACACTTTCTTTCAAAAAAAAAAAAAAATATATATATATATATTTTTGCTCCCTTTGACTTTTTATTGTTTATCAGTTTAGCAGATATTCATTCAATTGTATACACCTTTTCACTGTAGTAGTGCATGTTTATCCCTCCCAAATTAATAGAAAACACTGGAGTTCCCCAGACCACAACCCTGACAATCCCAACAATAGTTGGGATCGTCTCAAAGCTCTCCAAATGTACTCACTAGAAAGGAGACGAGAGAGAGAGATCAAATAATATACACGTGGAAAATACTGGAGGGCCAGGGGCCCAGATCTACACAGTAAAATAACAACATGCTGGAGTGAACGATATGGAAGAAAATGCAGAATAGAACCAGTGAAGAGCAGGGGTGCCATAGGCACAATCAGAGAACACTGTATAAACATCAGAGGTCCACGGTTGTTCAACATCCTCCTGGCGAGTATAAGAAATATTGAGAAAAACCGTGGATATCGTGAAGAGAAAACTAGATTGTTTTCTAAAAGAAATGCCGGACCAACCGGGCTGTGGTGGGTATGTGGGCCTGCGGGCCGCTCCAAGCAACAGCCTGTTGGACCAAACTCTCACAAGTCAAGCCTGGCCTCGGGCCAGGCTTAAGGTGTAGAACAACTCCCTGAACCCCATCAAGTAGGTATTGGTCATGGTCACACAGTGTGAATGTAGTCACATTTTTGTCAGCATCGTCTCTTGTGTTATCTTTCATTCTTTCACCTTCTGCCGATTTTCGCTTCTCTGGTGCCTTTCTGGTTTAGTTTCTGGCTTTTCATTCTTTCCTTTTTCTGTCTTCAGTTTTTTTGTCTTTGGCCTAGTTGGGCATTTTCTTTTTTCATATCTAGTCGCAGTGATCCACTATTCCTTACATGTCTCTCTCTAGTTTTCTTTGTTCGTTGGCTTTTCCTTGGCTCCTTGTGTTTGTACCTCTTTATCTTCAGTCATCTGCCATATTGTCCTGCTGCTATGCCCTGCGGACTCCCAACGGGCCTGTGGTGTGCATCGATGTGGAGTTCTGTCCATCTTCTTTCATGATGTGTATTGAAATGTTCTTTGTGGTGTCTTGTGGATTTCCTGGGCCTGCACTGGGCATTCATGTTGTTGAGTTTAGATGCCTGGTGCTGCCCTTTCCATCTTTGAGGACTCCTGGTTGTTGTTGCTCTTTCTGCCTCTAATAGGCCCCATTTTGTTTTATTCTCCGTGATGGGATAATTATAGGAGCCACCGAGGAGCTACTCTTGAACGCCAACATTCACCAGTATGGAACGCCTCTTTCTGGTGAGCCTTCTAGTGAGTCGCTGTTCGTGCCCATCTCCTCTTTGGGGCTATTTATTTAATATTTTATATATTTAATGCCCCTAGCCTCTCCTCATAACTCTTGTTTTTCAGTTCTGGAAGCCATTTAATTGCATTTTTTTTCTAGTTTATCAATGTGCTTCTTGAGATATGGGCACCATGCAACTGCTGCATATTCCAAGTTTGGTCTCGCAAATATCATGAACAATTTTCTTCAATATTTTGTCATTCATGTATTTAAATGATACTGAAGTTGGAGAGCACAGTGTAGATGCCTTGCACAATTTTCCTTGTGTGGTCTTGAGGTGACAGTTTTCTATCCTGGACCACCCCTAGATCTTTCTTTGAGTTGATGACCAAACCACACATCAGAAGATGGAGAAACGACAACGTTGTGGTCCGTCCTGGTCCATTATCAATCTGTGATGTCATTATCAAGTCATCACATGACTTGAAAATGGTCCAGGTCCTGGATGGACCAAAACATTGTTGTCTCCATCTTCTGATCTGTGGGTTGGTCATCATATCTTTTGCCATGTTATTGTGACTCATTGTCTGTTTATCATAGTTCTTTAAAGCTTTTTCACATAATTTGTATGTTGTGTGTAGCATATATTAAATTCCACAGTCCATAACATGGCATTTATTCACATTAAATTCCATCAGCCAAATGTTGCTTCATACATTTATTTTGTCCTGGTCATCTTGAAGGGCATGACAATCATTTAAGTTTCCTATCTCCTCTAGTAGTTTGACATCATCAGGAAACCATTTTATTACAAATCACTCCCTATTCCTTTTGGTGGATCATTGTGTGTAACAAGAGGAGTTAACAACCTAATTATCGTGTCCCTAGTTTTCAAATTTATTTCTATTGGCTTTGCCATTATATACCCGGAGCATACCTAGAGAGAATTTTGGGAGTTCTACTTCCCGAGCCTGGCCTGAGGCCCGTGTTATGGTGCACTCTACCTTTGTGGTGGCATTTCCTCTTGGTTAGAATGATTTAGATAGTGGGCCAAATTCTCTGGTGTTTGGTTGGCATTTATGACTGACAAGGATGGTATGGCATATGAGTAGGACTATCCAGGTAGCTAGAGCTCCTGGGGGCCCACCAGAATGAGGCATTTCATTTAATTTTCTTAGTTTTGGGTTGATGTCTGATCTCCAGCTCTGTACCTCATAGGGCCAATTAGATTTTGGTCTTGTCTTCCGATAGGTAATGACAAGGCTCGGAGGCATGGTGGGATTAACTATGGCCTAGTGGTACCAGTGTTTAAGCTTGAGGAGTTACTGGAGACAACAGAAAATGGCATTTCATTACATTCAACCCTTGATTTGTTTTAGTTTATTATGAACTCTGCTAACTTAGTGTTTGGAGGCTAGCAACTTTGCTCAATATTTTTTCAATAAGACACAAAATAAATGTGTCAATCCGCTCTCGCACAAGACAGCACATATGACTTATGCTTATAGTCAATATTTGGCTTATGAGTAAGTACATACTGTATGTGGTATATTCCAAGTACTAGTTTTTTTCAAGGCACTAACTCTTCCTCCCAGTTTTATTAAACAATAGAAATTTTATACAAAATTTGACAATATCCTGAGTTACTTTACAATTTATTTAAATATTTTAGTTTTGTTTTATTATTTTTATAAAACTGTAATATCAATATAGGTATAGGTTAAGTACTAATAGTATCTTAACATACTAAGGAGGTTAGGTTAGGTCGTGGTTTTCTATTCAGCTTTTCAGGTAAATTTCAAATATTCACAATAAATTAGTATATATCACATATGTACTTATTCATAAGCAAAATATTGACCAAGCAAGTGCGAGAACGAGTTGCATGTGTATGTATGTATGTATGTTTATTTATTTATATGAAACTTGATATATAAATTAATTTTGTTACATGCAATTATGGCACCTTTATAATACATCAATAACCATATGAGTTTTATTCAATTTTTTTTTCAGACACAAAATCATTTGTTGACAAGTTTCTTCAGGTAACAACAGCAAGATCGTACTTGCCCAAACGGTCTGCTCCATCGTCGTCGTCAGCCAGCTCTTTTAACCTTGACGCATCGTCTACTAATTTTACCAGCAATACTGATGGTGGACCTCCACCATTACCCCCAACACCTACCCCTAAACAATCTTCTGGTCACTCCCCTGATTCTACTACTCCGCCCAATGCTGTACCGCCACCACCACCTGCTTCATCGTCTACCAGTGTACAGCCTGCCCCACCACTACCGCCACCAAGTTCTGCAATTGTTGCTCCTCCTCCGCCACCCCCTGAGTCTGCTCCCCCACCTCCTCCAGCCTCTGTTATCACTCGTAAAGAAGAAGTATCGTCATCGCAACGATCTAGAAAATCTGATTCTGTAAGTGTTAGTTTGTCAGTTGTAATTAACTTGTTTTATAGTTTATACTATACTTCTGATCTTCATGTCTGTATTTATTTATGAAGGAAAGAGGGATTACAATATTTTTTAAGTCAGATTGTTTGTGAGAAACTGAAAAATACCTGCGAGAAGAGGCTGGAAGCAATTAGAGAGTTGCAGAACTTGAGTCATAAGGTTGATATAAAATAATGCTAAAGGGTTTTTATTCTTTAGTTAATAACTGTTAATATACTGACTCGCTTTCGGTTTGGAGTCTGCCCCCACACCACCTGAGGTTAACTATGTATGATATAGCTCCTTTCATGTTATGCAACATTCAGGTTCACTTCTCCCTTGGAGCCTATCTGCTCGTCTGGCTCCCTAGCCTCCGGCACTCGTTATCCTGTCCGTATTACGACCGTTTTCAATGTGGGGCTCATTTTATCCCAAAATGAAACAGTTTTAATACACACACGTATGTCTTCTCCGCCGTCAAATGCGGCAGGTAGGGCTCTTTCCCCCCCTCCCCCAGGTTTGTTTCAGGGAGCCCTTGGGTTCCTTGGATTAGTTTTTTTTTTTTAGGTTTCTTCCTCTCGGCTTCTCCTTGGTGTAATTACCTAAGTGTAGTTACAGGATGAGAGCTACACTCGTGGTGTCCCGTCTTCCCAGCACTCTTTGTCATATAATGCTTTGAAACTACTGACGGTCTTGGCCTCCACCACCTTCTCCCCTAACTTGTTCCAACCGTCTACCACTCTGTTTGCGAAAGTGAATTTTCTTATATTTCTTCGGCATCTGTGTTTAGCTAGTTTATATCTATGACCTCTTGTTCTTAATGTTCCAGGTCTCAAGAAATCTTCCCTATCGATTTTATCAATTCCTGTTACTATTTTGTATGTAGTGATCATATCACCTCTTTTTCTTCTGTCTACTAGTTTTGGCATATTTAATGCCTCTAACCTCTCCTCGTAGCTCTTGCCCTTCAGTTCTGGGAGCCACTTTGTAGCATGTCTTTGCATCTTTTCCAGTTTGTTGATGTGCTCCTTAACACTTTCGCGCTATCTGGACGCGCCGGCGCGTTCGGTTTCGTCTAACGTAAACGCATAGTGGACATAAAGTTATGTCTACTTTTAAAATATTTGTATAAAATTCAATTTTTATCCGATTTACTTTGGGTTTGTTTCAAACTGCGCGCTGTGAGGCTCTCTTTCTCACCACTAGGCTGCATGGTACAATAAGTTCATGAAAGGTGTGGATAACTTCGATCAAATGGTATTTTGTCCCAAACGGGTTGCAGGTGGGTGACTTTAGCCGTTTATACTGGTAATTCTTCCCCCATATCATGTATTATATGCATATGTCTGTTTAGGGAATTTTATTCCGATCAATATACAACCAAAAATAACTGTGTGCAACAAGTATAATCTTGACAAACATAACAAAAGTAAAAATATTTCGTGTGTGTTTGACGCTCACTGATATGTTCCAGCGTTGTTTTATATTTGTCGCTATTCTAACTTACGCTTTGTTGATATTTTTTACCTATGGGCACATAGAACATTCTATTGCGAACACATTGACATAAAAATGAATGACGTACATAGAAAATTAATGTCATGAGAGTGAAATAAGTATAAACTTTCAAAGCGCCGTGCGTCGTCCCGTCACCGATACCGGGTAACAATTTCACCACTTCCCACACTCTTGCGGGCGGGCTGCATCATTATTCTACGCTTATATTCATATCACCGTGTTGGGAATTTCATTGCGAGTCCATTGATACCAAAATTAACGCTGTAGAACAAGTGTGGAGGTGATTACAATCCCAAGAGTAAAAACATTTTGTTGCTGATGGGCGCTCACGGCGAGTCATCTACGTAGTTATTTATTTGGTGCTGGTATCCCTATATGTTTCGTGACTTATTTTACTAATGTTCTTCTAGAGAATTTTATTGCGAACACGTTGGTACCAAAATGAAATACGTAGCATGAGAACTAAGGTCAGAAGAGTAAAAAGAGTATACACATTTTTGTTTTTACGCTTAAGCGATAAAAACGCAGCGCGCACATTCGGTTGGCTGAGTGACCTTTGCGGAGAGCGCGAAAGTGTTAAGATATGGGCACCACACAACTGCTGCATATTCTAGCTTTGGCCTAACAAAAGTCGTGAACAATTTCTTTAGTATATCGCCATCCATGTATTTAAAAGCAATTCTGAAGTTAGAAAGCGTGGCATAGGCTCCTCGCACAATATTCTTTATGTGGTGTTCAGGTGATAGTTTTCTATCTAGAACCACCCCTAGATCTCTTTCTTTATCAGAATTCTTTAAAGATTTCTCACATAATATATAGGTTGTGTGGGGTCTATGTTCTCCTATTCCACATTCCATAACATGGCATTTATTAACATTAAATTCCATTTGCCAAGTGGTGCTCCATGTACTTATTTTGTCCAGGTCTTCTTGAAGGGCATGACAATCATCTAAGTTTCTTATCCTTCCTATTATCTTAGCATCATCAGCAAACATGTTCATATAATTCTGTATACCAACTGGTAGATCATTTATGTAGACAATAAACATCACTGGTGCAAGAACTGAACCCTGTGGTACTCCACTTGTGACATTTCTCCAGTCCGATACATTGCCTCTGATTACTGCCCTCATTTTTCTATCAGTCAGAAAATTTTTCATCCATGTTAGAAGTGTACCTGTCACTCCTCCAATATTTTCCAGTTTCCAGAACAACCTCTTATGTGGAACTCTGTCAAAAGCCTTTTTTAGGTCCAGATAGATGCAGTCAACCCAACCATCTCTTTCCTGTAATATCTCTGTTGCTCGATCATAGAAACTGAGTAAATTCGATACACAGGATCTTCCAGATCGAAAACCATACTGTCTGTCTGATATTTCGGCTTCTCTTGCACTAATCAGGTGTGTATCGTGATTCCGATGTGTATCGTGATGTGTCTTCCTGGCCGGCAGCCTGCCTCGACGACTGGTTGGTGTGGGCTCCCTGCTAGTCTGCCTGTCTGCTGTCCAGGAGTTTTGGTTCTTTCCCAGCTTGGCGGGTTCGGGTTTACTGGTGCCTTAATCGGAGTCCCAGTTGGTTCCATGTCAGGTTCGGCCTTGACTGGGCCTAGTGTTAGTTTCTAGGACTGCGTCTGTTTCTTTCCCTCCAGCTTTGCTCTGGTTGCGGTCCCACCTTCTGCTGTTTTGAGGGGGACCTGGCTCACTCGACGATTGCTCGAGTACTGTAGTTGTGCGGGAGCCTGCACTCCCTGCCCTGCTGGTTTATCTGCTGGGCAGATAAAGGCTGTTCTGGTATGAACATCCCTAGGCATCTTATTGGCCTATTTCAGACTTTCTTTGTACTCATGGTTCCCAGTCTAGTTCCTGGAGGCAGTTAGGTAGGGCTGGAGTATTAACAGCTTTTGGTTGAGGAAAGCCTGTAGTGGAGCCAGATTCCAATTTGTATACACGAGATCAATTTGAGATCACGGCACCTACCAGCAAAGGACTAACCGGCGTCCTTTGCTGGTCAGTGCCGTGATCTTGCTTCTTGGAGGGCTGCGGTTTCTTGTGGTTTGCATGCCAGCCCTTTTGCAATTCAACAAATCCCTCCCCTCCCCCATGCCTTTCTGGGAAGTGGTGGGGGGAATGGGAGCTAGATCGGTTTTCCAGCTTCTTTCTCCATAATTTGTGTGATTTTCGAGTTTTGTGTAGCCTATGGTGAAGTCGCTTACTCCCTCTCCTTTTCTTAGGGTCAGGGCTTTTAGGGCAATTGTCTTTTCATCGCATTCATGGGGTCATCTCGGAATGGGTTGCATCTGGCAAGATCGGTACAACCATGTTTCTTTGGTGGGTGTCTAATCCTTTCCTTGTTTGTAGAGTTGACTTGGCCTCTTTTGTGCTTGAACAAGTATCGGCCCTGTATCGCCTCATATTAGAAGCAGGCTCCTGAATGATTTTCCATGGTTTCTCAAATGTGAACTGGCATGTCATTATTTATCTGTGGTTCAGGAATTGGTTAATTTTTGTAGTGGGGCATGAGGCATACTACTTTCAGGTTCATCACTTCAGGTTGATTTTGGCTCCTTGTGTTTTCACTAGGTTGATTCGGGTTTGGGGTTTGTGTTCTACCCTACCTTGACAGCTTGCTGACTTGGAACCCCAGTCAGTCTGCTTATCTGCTAGCCTTGCCTTTGCTTTGGTTTGGAATTGGTGCCTTTCTCTTTGTGGCTGTGTTTCCTGATTGTGACGCACCCGCAGTGGATGCCTTTCGGCTGGACTGGTATGGGTTTCTGTAGCTCTTTATCCCTGGTCCAGCTATTGCTCTGGGTCCTTGCCAGGTCTTGGAGGCCTGCCAGGGGAGGTTGGTCCAGACTCCTTGGTGGTTGGCTCAGCCATGGTTTCAGGCAACGCTTACTCAGTGTCCAAACCCAGGGTTTTTCTGCAGCTCCGCCCCTTTCAGCAGATAGGCCCAGAGATGTACCTCACTGGTTCTACCTTCTCGTTTCTTTCCATCTGGTATTATTGTTGTGTTTATAGCCTTCTCTACTGCGAGTTGGTTCTTCCCTTCGGGAAGAAGGGAAGTGTATTGTGAGATTTTTTATCATTTGTTTACATTATAGGGTGAGTTCGTTCGACTGGTTGTGATGCCTCAGTCTCTTTGCACCCAGCTGCGTTCTGTATTGGTTCGCTAACTTTTTGAATGCATTTCCCCAATGAGGTGGCAGTATGTCACCAGCTATCTGCACCTCTGTAAGGGGATTACATTTTGGCTCTAGTCTCCTTTAGACCGAACGGAACTCCACAGCCGATGTGATCCATTAGTTGGGGGTCATTTCATTGAGATAGCTTCAGGAAGTCATTGGGGCTCACTCAGATTTTTTATATTTATTTTCTTTTAAATTTAGCACTGGTTTTATTTTATATAAAATGGTTTTAGGTAATTGATACTTTATTGTTATTAGAAACTTCAATGTATTAATTTTATTCTAGGATACATTAATTTAGAAATCTTAATAAATGTGACTCTTATCTTTCATTGAAGGAGAGAGATAGAGATGATAGAAGAGGCAGACGCAGATCACCATCTCGAGGAAGGTCGCGTACTAGATCAAGATCTGGTTCCCGAAGTAGAGACAGATCTCGAAGGTCACGTTCTAGGGGCAGAAGTGGCCGTAGCAAATATGACGATAGAAGAAGAAGATCACCTATAAGCAAACGGTAAGCTTATTTGCTAAAATTTAATGTTAAGGATCAAACTACAGCCAAAGGTTTATAGGATTCCATGGTTTTATAGGTATGCTCCAGGATTCTTAAATAAATTACAAATAATAATTCAGAATGAAAGCTCAAAGTTTTTCAATTTACAGATATCGACGCTCTCGTACGAGATCACGTAGCCGTAGTCCGAGGCGATCTCGAAGTCCTCGTCGATCCAGGTCACGCGAGAGAAAATCTAGATCAAGAAACAGATCTCGTTCCATAACCCCAAGAAACAACAGATCCTCTGCCCGCGGAAGGTCGCCTCCCCCTATTCCTAGATCACCCAGTCCATCGAGAAAGTCAAAGTCTATTCCAAGGGGTAGGTTTTTATTTATACTGTACATAATTTTCTTTATTCTTGTGTAACTGATGAAGTTTGAAATTACCAAAGTATACATTGTTGTTAGTATTTTTGTTGATACACAGTTGCATTCTGGCCAGATCTGCAATATCATCCTCTTGGAGAGGTGGTGGTTAAATATTGCATACACTGTCACACATTTCTGATAAATGGAGGTCTTTTGATGGAACACCTCGTACATTTGCCATATAACCCATGTTTGGGCATCATATATACAAAGCATGTGCTTCTTGCTCACAGAGAGAAACAAGAATGTGTAACATTTAAGAAAATTACTGTTAGACATGTTTGGTAAGGACTTGCTTTATAATATAAAATCTTTTGGCAAAATGTTATCTCTAATATAGAAACATAAGAATAAATGACAGTGCAGAATGCCTATTATCTCTATGAGGCAGCTCCTATTTATGTCCACCCAAACTCAACCATGTGTGTGTGTTTAATCTATGAAATAATCCAGCAATCCCATGTCTTTATGTTACTTGGTAATTGGTTTCATAAATCAACAATCCTGTTTCCAAACCAATATTTACCAAATTTATTCTTGAATCTAAATTTCTCCAGTTTATATCCATACTGTATTTTTGGGGGTCTCTTTGTTTTGTATTAATATATTTAAAACTTTATTTGTATCTCCCGTGTTGTACCCTTTAATACTTGCATTCCGATGACACTAAACTCACCAAAGAAGATTTCATTGATCTTGAAATTACAGAAAATCAATTCCCCCCCCCCCCCAATCCCAAGCACAGTGCATGACTGTGCATGACCTTGCTGTTTGTGCAGATCCTCCGGGATGCGGTTTCCAATGTTTTTACCTCTTGCCTCGTGTGTCGGCAGGCAGTGCTGGCTCTTTCTTTAGACTCGCATCGGCCCTGGCTCTTTGGTTAGTGTTTCCTTTGTCCTCTTGTTTTCTGAGGACTCTGGGTTTGTTTGTTGGCTGTGGTGCTAGTGGCTGGGTTAAGGTGACCAGGTTTGGACTTGGCTGGGCTTTGTGTGGGATTCTTGGATTGTGTCCCTTTCTCTCTCCCTCCCGTTTCTCCAGCTGCAGTCTCGTTGTTGCCTGTTGTTGAGGGGGACCCGGGGTTACTCGAGCAGCTGTGTGGGAGCCTAAATTTTCTTCTTCTGGTTTACTCACTGGGCAGGATTTGGCTCAGGTGGCTGTTCTGGTATCTACGGAGCAGTCCCTTTTGCCACTCTTGTGATTGTTAGTTTCATTCTCTGGTGCCCTTGCAGCACTTGCCGGTTTCACCGGCTTTCTCTTCGAGTTTCGGGGTTTGGTGCCATGGTGCCTTCCTCCTTCCTCTCTCGAGGTTCCACGGCCGCCTCGTATGTAGGTTGGGGCTTTGTGACCAGCGCTCACCAGTCCTGCCAGGGGCGTTGGTGGCCGTCCATGTGTAGGGCTCACAACATGGTTCGGAAGTTGCAGCAGTATGGCAGTCGTTGTGAAGGATTTGGATTCCTCAGGGCACATCCAGCTTCATTTGGGCTGCTCCCCCATGGTTCATTATCTCAACTTTGGGGAGGGGGGGGGGGCAGGGAGTGTGTGTGCTCCGTGTCTACGTGGAGCTGGTTGGGTAGCTCTTCTGCTAAGTTTTCGGGGTTTAGCTCACCATACTGTTCACGTTGAGGGAGTGTCCAATGTCCTGGCAGACAATCTGTCTCACTTCATTCCTCTTTCCACTGAGTGGTAGACGGTCATTGTCGATCCTTCCTTTGGCTTTGATTCGCCGATGCCGATTCCTTTCCTTCCTTTAGGGCACCCAAAGGTGTACCTCTTCGCATCAGTTTGGTGTTTCTGCGTCATCCTCTGTATGTGGCGCCATTACCCGACTGCAAGGCCTCTCGGTGTCCGAACCCGATTATTTTTCCATGGCTCCGCCTCTTTCAGCAGGTCAGGCCAGTACCTTGCTGGTTCGACTTTCTCCTCTGTGATACACGTCTGGTCTTTCTAACGTGTGTGAAACTCCATTTGTTTTGTGATCAGTTTTTTTTTTTTCGATGGTGTCCCACCTGCATTCTTCTTCGCTGTGATAGTACAACGTTTCTTGGCAGGTTATCCACTATTTTCTTTCTCCTTGTAAGGTTTTGTCTGTGTCAGACAAAGTTGTTTTGGCTTTCCTCTCTTGGTTTTTCCTGGATCATGCTGAATACAGTCGCTTCCTTTCGTGCGGCATTGGCAGGGCTGCTGCAGCTTGCGTTCAAGGAGGATTTCACTTTTGCACCTTTCTGCCGGCTTTCTCGTGCATTTTTTCACATCCAGACTGAGGTGTGCTACCTGTGATGTGCCACCTGAGCCGTCTTGGTCTTTGGACTTGGTTTTTTCCTTTCTTTCTTTACCTTGGTTTGTGGTGGCCCCTTCAGTTTGTGATTGCTTCTGGAAGGCTTTGTTTATGTTGGCTTTGATCTCTAGGTGTCGGGATGGGGAGCTTCATGCCCTTCTCCGGCACTGGGGGTTTTGTTCATTAATCCTGGTGGTCATTTTGTTTGCTTGCAGCCGGCTACTTTTCTGGCATATTATGAGATGGCAGGCTCCTGGAGTGCTCTGTTGGTTGTGGATGCTTGGTTGCTTAGGCCGGGGGTGCATCATGTGTTGTCCGGTGGTGACTTTGTTGCTCCCTGCGGGCCACTGGTTTTGTGATGGTATTTCCGGTTTTCCCTGGTTTCCTGTTCCAGGACTCAGGTTGTCCGCAGTGTCATTCAGTCTAGCCAGTCTGTGGTTTTACCTCGTGCCCATGATGTTAACAAGTATGCTGCTCTTGTGATAGTTTTTGATAACGTGTCTTGGATCGACATACGGGCGCTGGGTTTTAGAGGTCGCACTGGGTCCTGGCAGCCAGGTATCTAATGTCCATTTCGGTTTCTTCATGGCCTTATGTGGCCTTGGGCTGCCTGTCTCTTCCTTGTCTTGAAACCTGCGGGGCTGCTGCCTCCCAGGTAAGTCCATGTTTTTACTTTTTTTTGGGTAGTTAGCTTCATGGACCCAATGGGGCTTCCCGCAGAAAACCAGCATTGAATGTAATAAAATATTTACCAGTTTCTGGATGAGCCCTGGAGGTTTCTCAACCCTCTCCCTCTGGTTGGCGTTTTCATCGTTCAATAGCTGGGGTTGTGGACTGCCGGCTTCCCCTCCCCTTCTTTAAGGGAGGGGGGGTAGTGCTAATGAGCAGAAATGCTAGTTGCAAGAAGGGTTGCTTGTTTGATTTCTTTGGGAGTTATTTTGATCTTTTAGGACATAGATTGCACAGGTTAACCAAACTGTAGTCTGTTGGGATTTGCCTACCTTTCTGGGTCGTTCTCTGGTCGATGACAATTATGACATTTTAAATGTAAAGTGCTCATATGCCATTGCTCCCTGCGCCTCTCTGAGGGCCCAGCTTCTGGCTCGTGGTCCCTGGTAGGCATAAGGACTCCTTTGACTGATGACCCGAACTAATACAGCATGTATCAGTTTGGATAGTTTCTGGAAGCCTCTGGGGCTACCTCCAGAAAGGGCATTCCATTACGTTCAACGCTGGCTTTTTCCTTCTCTGTGGGTAGTTAGCTTCAGGGTGTCGATGGGGCTTCTCACTGAAAACCAACATTGAATATAATGAAACACCAGTTTCTGAGAGAGCCCCGGAGGCTCCCTGACACCCTCCCTTTTTCTGGTCATTAGTGGCTTTCATCATTCAAGAACTGGAGGGTGGGTAGCCAACCTGTCCTCTTAAAAATTACGTCTAAATTTAGCCGTTTGCCCATAAGCCAAAAATGGACGGACGGGGGGTACCTTGGTTTAAGAATTTAGTCCGTTCCTGGAGACAGTTCGTAACCCGAAAATTCGTAAACTGAAGCGAATTTCCCAATAAGAAATAATGGGAAATGATTAATCCTTTCCAGACACCCCAAAAACCTCACTTCAAAGTAAATTTTATACATATTTCATCCAAATCTTCACTACAAAAATATGTTCAAATTATTACTTACCCTTGCTGATGACTTCTGTTGGCGTATGGAAGATGGTGAGGAGGGTGAGAGGAGGGGAGGTGTTACTGTTTTGAAGGGGAGTCCCCTTCCATTATAACATCAGGCAGTGAAGATTTCTCTGGAGTGCACTCTCTGGCACATTTTGCCTGCATGCCACAAGGCCCTGGTTGTGGCTCGCTGCTTGGTTTTCTCACTTTTCTCACAAGGAAACGTTCCATTGAAGATTGAGATTCCCTTCTTTGCAACACTTGTCTGTAGTGTGGCATCTCATTGTCATTAAAAAAGATCAATGCAACGGCCTACTACTGCTTTATCTGGGTGATTCTTTTCGGCAAAACTTTGCAGTCCTCCTCATACTGCACATGTTTTCTTAATTAGTGAGGAAGGGACATTCTCTACTGCCTCCTCTTCCTCCCCTGAAGATTTGTTGTACAGCCTAGCTAGTTCAACAACACAATGATCTCTTGTTTTTCCTCTATGGTCATTCTCACATGTGATTTCTTGCCTTGAACCTTACCACTGGCTTTCTTGGGATCCATGGCGAGATATATAACAACAACTTTTATGCTCAAATGGACAAAAATCCAACAAAAAACTGTAAATTCTTGTGAGGAATTTAGGCGGGATAGTCACTGGGCGCGAGGCACTGGTAAACTGAGGTGCAATCGCTGTGCCACCACACGCTAGGTCGGCTGTATGCGTATCAACAAACTCATATCCCGATGCAAAGTTCGTATCCCGATTCAAATTTTCCGAACAAATTGGGCATGTAACCCGAAAAGTTCGTAAGCAGGTATGTTCGTAACCTGAGATACCACTGTAATTTGAAAATGAAAAAATTTAAAATTAATTTTTGATTTTGTTTTTCCAAAACAGTAAGTTAAGGGTCCTCTGGATTGTTAGGAGGGCAGGAAATTCTCCTAAAGTTTCAAAACATTGTGAAAAACATTAATTGAAAGTTTCTTCTCCCAATCTTACCGAGTTAGCCAGATGACTCAAACAGAAAACGGGACAGTACATCACTTTTGTGAGTCGATTTCATTTCAAATTATGTCCATTTTTGGCCATAGCGCGCATACGAGCAAAGAGTGATGGTATTTTTAGAGGATGGGTTGGGTAGCCTGGCTCACCTGGGCTGGCTTCCCCTCCCCCCTGCAGCCTTCCCCCCTCCCCCCTTCCCAAAACAAGTGTTGCTTGTTTTCTTTCTGGGGGAGTTCTTTTGCTCTTTTGAGGACAAAGGTCATATTTTTCAACTAGACAGTGGTCTTTTATTTTGCCTACCTTTCTTGATGCTTTCCCTGGCAATTATGACTTGCAGTACTTTAAATGTAAAGTGCTCATGGGGCATTGCTCCCTGCATCTCCTGAAGGGGCCAGGTTCTGGCTCTGGTTCTTGATTGGCAACATTTACTCTGTGACTGATGACCCCAAATATAGGATAGCACTTCAGTGGTACCTCGGAATGCGAGTGTCCCTGTATGCGAGTTTTTCGGAAGACGAGCAGGATTTACTCCAAAAATATGTCTCGGAAGGCGAGGGTTACCTCGGGACGCGAGTTTGTTGATACGTGTACAGGCCGACTGGCACGTGGTGGCATGGCGATCGCGCCTCAGTTTACCAGTGTCTCGTGTCCAGTGACTATCCCACCTGAATTCTTCACAAGGATTTACAGTTTTTTAACGGTTTTTTGGCCATTTGAGCATAAAAGTTGTCATTATATATCTTGCCATGGGTATCAAGAAAGCCATTGGTAAGGTTCAACCTAAGAAAATAGCTGTGAGTAGAGGCAGTAGAGGATGTCCCTTCTTGATTAAGAAAATGTGTGAAGTATGGGAAGAACTGCAAAGTTTTGTTGAAAAAACTCACCCAGATAAAGCTGTAGCAGGCCGTTGCATTGACCTTTTAAATGATAATGTGATGTCTTACTACAGACAAGTGTTAAAATGTAGGGAAAAACAAGTGTCATTAGATAAATTCTTAGTAAAACAAGCAAGTCCTAGTTGTATGCAGGCAAAATGTGCCAGTGTGTGCATACCAGTGAAGTCCTCACTGCCTGATGTGATAATGGAAGGGGACTCCCCTTCCAAACAGTAACTCCTCTCTTCCTCCCACCTCCTCACCATCTTCCATACGCCTACAGCATTCAACAGCAAGGTAAGTAATAACTTGAACATAGTTTTGTAGGTTTATTTAGATGAATTAGGTATAAAAATTTAGTTTGATGTGGGGTTTTTGGGGTAGTCAGGAACGGATTAATTCATTTCCCTCTATTTCTTATGGGGAAATTAGCTTCGGAATGCGAGTTTTCGGAATACGAGGCGTCTCCAGGAACCAATTAAACTCTTAAACTGAGGTATGCCTGTATATCAGTGGGATAGCTTCAGGGAGCCTCCAGGTCTCGCCAATAAACTATTGTTTTTTGCATTCATTGCTGGTGTTTTGGGATTTTAAAAACTGACTTACATTGTAAAAATATCTTTCTTGCTGCTTTCTCTGAAAAGTCTTTTAACATTTTGTCTTAAGTTTAAACTTCTGCCAATTTGCCACAAATATTTTCAGCAGAAACATTAAAATTGGCATTCATCACCGAACTGAGAGAGAGGAAAAAACCCTGTTTTGGTTGGTGTGGTTTGCATATCTTCATTCTGTTTGAGGGACTTAAGCACATTTTTTTTGTATATTTCTGCATTTGAAATATAGTTTTTTCTTGTATTGGCCTCAATTTGGAAGATATGTAAAAATTGGTATATTGAGGTTTTGTAAATTTTTGATGCAGCAGATGAAAAGCGAGAGTCCCCCCATGGAGCTTCACCGGTGTCCGAGACAAAGCTGGAGCCAAGGAGTGACCCTAGTTCCATAATGCAAAGTGTGGTTGCAGTCAAACATCCAGAGTTTACATTACCACCAGCTGGGAAGAAGCAGAGGTGTCGTGACTATGACGGTGAGTACTTGTTACCTCTCTATGGTACTTCTGCTTAGAAATATTTCTTTTGTTTAAAAAGTAATTACATAACTAAAAAAAAATTATCTGCTGTTTCCACAATGTTAATGGCCCTTTCGTTTCTTCTTCATAATTATCATTTGTATAATAAATATTTTATGGCTTAGACATAGTTTTGAGTTTTTAGTTCAGTTGCATTTTATTGATACTTTGAAATTCATTGGATCAATAACCCCAATTTTTGTTTATATTCAATAATTGCTATTTTAATTGGAATTTGTTTATTTGTAAATAATTTTTCCACAATTTACTTTTAAATTATTTGCATTGTAATTATTTTGTATCTATACAAAATTAAATTATTGGATAGTGAATTAGGTCACCAAAACTGATTTAAAAACTTTCAGCTTTCCATTATTTTCTTGATTTAATAAATTGCAGAAAAGGGCTACTGTATGCGTGGGGACATGTGCTCCTTTGACCATGGCTCTGACCCAGTAGTGCTTGAAGGGATCAGTGCTGTGCTGGACTTTCCCCCTCCCCCTGTGCCTGGAGCTGCGCCTAGTGCCCCTGGCTACACCCCGGCCCCAGCACCCCCTCAGGGGGTGCCCACACCCCGCCACCCACCTCCAAGACATCCACAGTTTGGTAAAGCATTATTTAGTTTGTGGTTATCTTCATTATTCCATTAATTCATCCTAAATTGGTATTCAAATCTGGGGTTTATAATTATTAGGTATCCATGCTTATTATTTCCTCCCAGATGAGTAGCTAGTAAGTTATGCTGGTAAGACCTTTTATTGTCATTCTCAGCTCAGAATGACTTGTCAGTAAATATGAATCCATTTGTAGTGAATGTATAAATTTCTATCCCTAATATATTTGATATGTTCTCTTCCTTATACACAACCTCATTTTCTCTGAGGAAAATTATCATGTTAAGAAAGTGAGTTTCAATTCAATCTGGAATCCTTAAAGTTTTAAAAACTTATAAATTTATACAGAATTAACCCTTAGAAGATGTCTCAATTTTAATTGAAGTTTTTCACCGTAGAACATTATGAGGATCAGGTTCTGCTTGTAAATTATTATACAGTATATACTGTGCTATAATTACCCCAAGAGTTTATATTTCTCTGACAATTATTACTTGACAAAAAGGCAAATATTATTATACATTTAAAATTATTAGAATAATTTTGAAGCGTGTGGCATCATTGTGCCCAAAATACTTTCACTAGCTGAAGGGAAAAGCCACCAGAAAGATAGGGCTAACCAAACAACAGCATGTTAAAATAAAAATTTAAAATAAGCGAAAAGAAAATGGGAAAATTATCCAAAAATTGGAGAGTATTTGACAAGATGAAAACAATACAGATATTGGGCAAGCAACACGTTCTCTTCATAACATCAGCTGACTGCTGCTGGATTACAGTACGTCAGCTGCTAGCCTCCACACATCCACATGGCCTGTTTTTATCCTGGTGTGACCATCAGCAGGTTGCTGATGTTCCTTTTACTGTAGGTTGCCTGACATGGTGTAAACTTCCCTGGAGTCTTGCTAGCGGTGCCCCTGCCCTTTACATGGTCACCTTTCCTGGTGGGTTCGGGTTTTTCTCTCCAAAACGCTGGCCTCTTGAAGGAGGAAACCTCGCCCTGAATAGTGCAGTCAGTGACTCCTCTGTAAGACTGAGGTTGGGCACATTCTGAGGTTTTCCTCTTTGCTTGTTGCACAGGTTTTCTGTGCACTTGTTTTATGGCATACCAACTGTGCCTTTTGCAGCTGCATTTACCTAAACTGTCAGGTGTGGATTTTATTGGCACGTGGATTACTGTGCCTTGGATGCTTGGTTTTTGTATGCTTTTGAATCTTGGATTCTTTAGTATGAACTGGTTTGCTGAGGCTTCTCTCATGAAATGTGTCTTTACTGGATGTCACGGTCTTGTTTCACGTTGACGGTTATTCTTACTGCCTTTACCAAGCCACCTGTGGAGTGAAGATCCCTTTTAACCTGGAGCCTGCGATGTTTGTCATCACAGCATCATTATGAATCAGGTTTCCATCCCAGGGGTGGTGGGGGGTTCTCTCTCATTCTACCACTCTCCTACATGCTCTACTTCCCCTCCCCTCCCCTCCCCTCCCCTCCCCTCCCCTCCCCCTCCCCTCCCCTCCCCTCCCCTCCCCTCCCCTCCCCTCCCCTCCCCCTCCCCTCCCCTCTCCTCTCCTCCCTGCCTTGCCCAGCCCTAGAATACAGGGATTATATGTTACGTTTTCTCTGGTGTGTGTTCTTCTGTGTGTAGAGTAATTTTGGCATCACATTTTCTGGCCAGTACAGGTTTTTAGCCTCGGTATTTGGTTTATCAGGTGGCTGTCGCTTTATGGGTCTGTTTTCCAGTATGTTGTTGGTACTTGAAATCTACCTGGATGTCCAAGTCAACCCTTTCTTGTTTTTCTGGTGCTGTGGTGGTGGAGGTTGGTGGTTTCCATATGTTCTCCTTTTGCCCCTCCATTCTTTCTCCCGGTCCTTCTAGTGTTTTGGGTCTCTTATTCTCTTCCTTTGTTCTGTTGTTTTTGGGATCTGGGGCTTGAGTTTCTTTGGGTTGTAGCTAAGCTTTCTCTGTGCTTCCCCTGCCACATTGGTGGCCGTCTGTACAGTAGTAGAGCTGTTGTGCATGCTGTGGTTCCACTGCCTTCTGTTTCCCAGGGATGTCATTTGAGGCTCAGTTCCTTCCTTCAGGGAAGACACCTTTCTGCCTATGGCCATCTGGTGTGGAACTTGGCTTTGCCCAGGAGTCTTCATTTATATGGAATTCCAGGGTTGGGGGTTGGAGTCCGAGGAGGATTCATTGATGTTCTTTGTGGGGTTCTTTCTTCACCCTGGCTAGCAGATATCCCTTCTTTTGGGGGTTTTGGTGTGTTACTTACAGTCCCCAAACATTCATCCTCTTTGAGTCAGTGGTACTTAACAGATTCAATGGCACTGTGGGTCTTTGTTTTATGCCTTACTTCTTTCTGTTGTCAGTATTTTAGTTTATTGGCTGTTTCTGTCTCTCTCTCATTCGATTGATTGGCTCGTGCCTCTTTCCCTTTATTGTTCCTGGGAGTTTGATGAAGGTTTTTGTCTTCTAGCTCTGCTGTAAGGGTTCTGGCAGCTCTGCCTTGGTTCTCTGCAGCTCGCTTCACTTGCTGATGGGCTGTTTTACTGCAGATACTTCAGAAGTTGGAAATAGAGGTGACATGGTTAGGCGGGTAAAAAGAATAAGAGGACTGGACCCAGGACAGCGGCCTCATTAGACATTGAGATGTAAGTCTAGTCCCAATCACTCGCACTCAGACATCGACAAAGCACCCGAGAGAGTGCGAAAGACTTTATGTAAATTCCTTACGTAAATTTCACAAATACACAAGTGTGGGGTTTATCCTATATTATTGTGTCTGTGAGAAGACATTACCATTACTAATTCTTTAATAATGTTACTTCACAAGTTTGAAACTTATGATTTTCGATCATTTACATAAAACACAGGTCTGTCGTGCCTGACCAGTACTATGACTGGCTTATCCATCTTCTGGCAGCATATATTTTAAAAGCTCTATAAGTGAAAGTTGATTTTGAATCTCATTCTTACATTTGTCCATTTTATTGAGAGAGATGTTTTGCAGGTTTAATAATACAGTATGCCAGTAAATGTTATTCATGTAGAGTCAGTCATTTGTATTATTAATAGATTCATACTTGAATAATATTTATCCAATTTGTAATATTTTTATTTTTTAGTATCTACAGGGGAATACACTCCCCGTGATCCAAGTCTTTGGGTTGGTCAAACCAACACTAACACAGGGCCCTATTATGGTGGTAATGGTGGGCCAGGCAGAGGAGCTAGTGTGGGTCCAAGATTTTCAGCTCCACCTCCACTTCTGCCCAATAGCACGTCACGGGAACTAATAAATGTTCCCGTAAATAATGGAGGTCACATGGGGGTGAGTACAAGTATTGATTACAATTTAATCCTGGTGATCAAAATGTCTAAATGTCTATCATGACAAATTTAAGAATGATATTGTGAGAGATAGTCATTTTCTTCATGAATTTGAATTTGGTGTACTTTTCGTGTGTTTGATTTAAGATAATACATTATTCAGTTATTGATAGTGGGTTGCAATAGGGTTTATGAAATAAGAGATTGCAGAAAATAAACATACACTACCAGAAATGTATTTGTTAAAGATCTGGCAAGCAGACACTGCTTAACCCGGCACTGCACAAGTATTTAACGAGGCATTCCCTCTCTTCACAAGAACAAACAAATTTCCCCAAATTTTGCCATATATTGTTAAAGTGTACAATGTTCTATACTGGTCATAGGAAAATTAGAATTATATTTTTTAAGTTACTTTGGCTGTAATAATAAAACAGTGAAGTCACAATGAAGGCATCAAGTCCTGTTCACTCGTAAAGCAATCTCCAGGTGGGGGGTGTCTCACGGCAGGATGAGAGGTTGATTTATCAGTGTAATTATGTTAGATTGTCAATAGTAGAATTTATATCACAAAATATGGAGAACATCATTAAGTACAGATATATTGGTCACTAATATGCTCACTGTATATTATTTTTAATAAAATACAGTTTCTCTGGGAAGCCCCTTATTGCAATCTGAAGTTATACACCTAGATGGTTCCCATCTACCAAGTCCATCAGCCGTATAGTTCTTAGGCCTACTGGGGACGAAAGCCAGAACCTAACCCCCCCCCCCTTCCTATCACAGAAGCGCAGGGAGCTGTAACAATGCGCTACCTCACTGGGGTAAGTCATCCGGAAAGTCAGTGGGGTCAAAAGAAACCACTGCTGGGTTTAAAAACAAAAACAAAAAAACTGAAGCCTTGAAACCTACACAATGATTTCAACAAATCTATACAACAATGATTTGCCAACTTGGAATATATTAAAATAACTTCTCGATACCTGTACCATGACCACAAAATTTCATTCATTGGAAGCTTATCAGCCATCCAGGAAGAGTGGGAAACAAATAATAATGGAACAGGAGCCAAGACTATCCTGTCCTCCAAGTTTCAGGGAGGAAACTGAACTAGATATTCAGGAAGTTGTAAACTCTGATTCAATATGCTCGAAAAGGATGACAGTAGATGAGACAGTGTAACAGACAGCACTGACAGTTGAACAGATGCAGACATTACAACAGACATTGTTAAAGAGAGAGAGAGAGAGAGAGAGAGAGAGAGAGAGAGAGAGAGAGAGAGAGAGAGAGAGAGAGAGAGAGAGAGAGAGAGAGACCAGAAACAGACATCTGCAAATTCTATGTAAAGGGCATTTGCAGACAGATATTCTGGAAATAGAAAGGGATTAGAATGCAACTACCACAATCCCAGAAAATGTCTAAATATATTTAGGAGAGGAAAATGTCACTTTGGACCAACATGTAGGTTTTTCTATCCAGACATGTGAGGAACCTGACTCGAGGACTGAAAATGCTATGATCTCAACTGCCCATACTTTCACGTGAAAGGCACAAAATGCTACATAAAGTGTGGCAAACAAGAAAATGACTTTGGAGGAAAGTCAAGAAACTGCCCATACTTTCACGTGAAAGGCACAAAATGCTACATAAAGTGTGGTAAACAAGAAAATGACTTTGGAGGAAAGTCTAGTAATTTTTTTTTATACCCAGACAAAAGAGGTTTCAAAAGGTGGAACAGAGAGAGTGAGTATGGAACAAGACCCACTTGCATACCAGAATCTAATGCAATTACACCCCACAACTGAAATATAAATACGTTGGGCAACAACCCTGCAACAGTCAATACTGGTGAGAACAAATCTGATATGCCCCACACATAATGGAATTGCCAGACATATCTCCCATCAAATTATCCCAAATATAGTAACCTCATTTATTTTTGCCAACATACAAGGACTAACAACAAGAGCACAAAACAAAGTACCTGTACTGTTCATAAATGAATGGTCATTTGACTCTTACCGAATCAAACACAGTATTTGGAACCTTCACAGAAACCCATGCAGGGGAACTCTTGGATAGTAAGATTTGGATATTGTTCCAGAATATAATCTATATAATAGGGAGCCGGTCGGCCGGGCGGACAGCACGCGGGACTTGTGATCCTGTGGTCCTGGGTTCGATCCCAGGCGCCGGCGAGAAACAATGGGCAGAGTTTCTTTCACCCTATGCCCCTGTTACCTAGCAGTAAAATAGGTACCTGGGTGTTAGTCAGCTGTCACGGGTTGCTTCCTGGGGGTGGAGGCCTGGTCGAGGACCGGGCCGCGGGGACACTAAGAAAAAAAAAAAAAAAAAAAAAAAAAAAAAAAAACGAAATCATCTCAAGATAACCTCAAGATAATCTACATAGATATGATAGGGTAAATAGTTCACATGGAGTAGGTTTGTATATTATAGAAGATCTTGTATGCTTGTAGTTCCTTTTAACCCTTCCACTGCTAAGGGGTCCTGAGGACATTTACACCCCTGTGCGCAAGAAAACAAAATTCTAAAAAATTATTTCGTCTTCTAAAAATGTTAATTTGTGTTCCCTGAGCATGGGCAAAATAAAAAAAAATCGTAGGTGACATATTTTGGGCGCAATAGACCGAGGAAGTCTGGCAAAAAGTGGGCATTGACAGAGCGGGCATCAGAACCGGTCAACGTCACCTGCGCTGACAGGTGGGAGTTGCCACAAAGAAATTATCACTTAATTATTTCAATGTCTCTGATTGATTTTTTCTCAGTTTTTTTGCAGTAATATTATTCAGTAGTGTGTATTATATAAGAATCTACATGTTTTGTTCACCACAACTGTACAACTAAGATGATATAGTTAGTTCAGACACTAAGAGTCGTCGCTACACACACAGTCAGCTGGCGGCTCCCTCACTCATTCAAGGTCACACGCACTAAACTTTCTCCCCCAACAATACCGTTTGTGGTATTACACTATATACAGACGTTATATATAAGTATGTATATATTTTGTTCACCAAAACTGTACAGCTAAGCTGATATAGTTAGTTCAGGCACTAAGAGTCTACACACAGTCAGCTGGTGGTTCCCTCACTCATTCAAGGTCACACGCACTAAACTTTTTCCCCCAACAATACTGTTTGCAGTGTTATTACACTATATACACACATTATATATAAGTATCTACATGTTGTATGCACCGTAACTGTACACTCTAAGCTTGTAGAGTGCCCAAAGAGCATAGTGGCCACCCTCTACACAGCCAGACAAATCATGCAGACAATGTCACCTCCATCACCCAAATGGCTCCTCCCAACATAATCCTTTTGCTGTTATTACACTAAGACACACATTATATATACATATCTACATTTGTGTTCACCATAGAGAACCACTGACCTGGTATGGTGAATGCAGACAATAACAGGTGACCACACAGTCAGTAAACGATGCAATTTCCCTCTGTCCCTCAGCATCACTCCTCCCATAGCGCTAATTATTACAACAATCCTGCTATTATCACAACCCTGGTTATTTTGATCACAGTCAGGGGTCATCTATAATATTGTCATCGCTAAATAATAGCAATTATATATTTATTGACATTTTTCGGCGATGCTGTGGTCACAAGCTGAACAGCAATGTTGTTCGCTCATGCTGTGTGCACTAGCCTTGGTTGCTCCAACAGTACTGTAGCTCTCACACCGGAGAATATTGCCCACGATTTTTTTTTTTAAATGGCGTCTATTTACAAGAGCCCTGAGGAAGCTAATGTGAACCCTGTGTAGCCGCGGGCCATTTGAATCGTTCCGGGCACCCTATGGCATATATATACGCCATGCACACCATGGGACATGTTACTCAAGGCGTATATATATACACCATGCACAGTTTAAGGGTTAATCAAACTATATCCTCTCTATAGCCCCTATAATTCTTTGCTTATTTTTTTCAAAAATTTGTCTTTATTTTCTTTAATTTCATAAATTTAATTTTGCCCCAAAATCACACACACCGGAGATAATTCCTAAATAAATACCCGAGCATTAAGGGTTAAGGAAATTTCCCACGGTAAGAAGCCAGTTGCATTTGAAATAGGCATTAGGTGGACATATGTACGAGTCAAGACTATGGAGTGGTGTGAAAAAAATGTACAACATTCATATGGTTGCAAAACCTAATTATAGGCTTTAATGCTGCTGATGAATGGAGTTCTCAAAATATTCTTTAGGCATCATTCAAATTAACAATTAATAATTTTTGTGTCTCCAGCAGTGTGGTGGTGGTGGTGTTCGTCCATCCTTAGCAAAGCGACTGGGTCCAGCTGTTCCCCTTCCTCATAATTTATCTGTGATTCAAAAACCTGGACGTCCTGACCTTGATAGCTGCACGTTGGAGCTCAGGAAGATTCCTCCAGGTCTCAACACTATAGCTCACCTTAATGATCATTTTGCAAAGTTTGGGACAGTAGTTAATATACAGGTAATACTTAATTTTCACCTATTCTGCTATTTGTGCCATTATTCTTTTAGAATGCTTTAATGGAAAATATATACTTTATTTTGTTCTAGTGTATCGTACTATACATGAACGTTAAGTAAGGCCACTCCAGGGATGTTGTTAGCAGTAACTTTTTAATGGTGTACCAGTACATGGAATGAATAGGCCTAAGACTAACATGTTATTTTCAACATTACTGATAAGTATTTGTAAAGTAATAAAGCAGTAGCATAGAGGTGTGCTACAAGTATATTAGTGACCCTGGTATATACAGTACATTGCAATGCAAAATTATTTCAAATTTATTTGCTACTGTGTAGTGAGTGTTGTATTTACAAGTAAGTTATGGCCTCATTATTGAATATTTCCATTTCTTTTCTTTGTTCTATAAGAAATTTCTCGTCAAAACAGGTTCATCATGAAGGAAACCCAGAAAATGCCTTAGTCACCTTCAATAGCCACTCGGAGGCCAATGCTGCTTATCGTAGTACTGAGGCAGTTCTCAACAACAGATTTATCAAACTATTTTGGCATAATCCACAGGTAAGTTAATTCTTTTTGTCAGATATTTTGAGTACTGATAACTGTACAAATAGTACCTGGTCTTCTTCCCTTCCACCTTCTTGTTTGGGCTCAGAAATGTCTGACGATTTCAGAGTCAATTCAAGGTTTAGCTGTGAATGTAGCTCATTTGACTGGGGGGTTTGCCTTGCCATTTTGACGGTGGAAACAGTTGAGTTGTCATTTTTTGCCATAGATGTCGTTACCATGTTTGGGCGTGAACCCACTCGTTGGCAAGCATAAGAAATATTGTTGGAAAAACCGTGGACATCTTCAAGAGGAAACTAGATTTATTCCTCCAAGGAGTGCCGGACCAACCGGGCTGTGGTGTGTATGCGGGCCGCTCCAAGCAACAGCCTGGTGGACCAAACTGTCACAAGTCAAGCCTGGCCTCGGGCCGGGCTTGAGGAGTAGAAGAACTCCCAGAACCCCATCAACCAGGTATCAACCAGGTAACCAGGACTTCAAGTGTTAACCCTTTTTTTGGACTCTGGGACCTTCCTGCCCACTCATTGCAGTAGCCTTGTGGCTCTACCGCACCAGTAGTTTCTTTGCCTTGCTGCATATTTCATGTGTAGCCTTCCGGATATTTTCCTCATTCAATGCCTTGCGGCATTTGCGGGAAATTCGAGTATACCTTGAATATATGCAGCAATCGACCATTTCCCAGGATGTCATCCACAACAGTCGACTAACAACCAGGTTTCTAATCACTGCTAGGTGAATAGAGGCAATGGGTGCTTAAAGGAGACTTGCCCATATGTCTCACCCTGCCTGGGATGTGGAGCCTTTGCCATCACAACAATTATCTAGCTGTTATTATCTGGAGAGCAGTAGTACATCAAGAACTTCAACAAAATTTTGTAGACCTGAGGCAACGTGAAATCGACACCAGTAATTCCATCTATCATCATACTATCATGCAAAAGGAGCCACACATCTATGGTTCATCCAATAAAATCGGCAGACTTCTAGATGTTACTACTGCTCGGCTTAGACTCTGTTACAAGTATCTCTGGGAATTTTCATTATCTGCTGATGTAGACCTGACCAAATGTAAACTGTGTCAACAAAATTATTCGCACACCCTCCGTCACTGTGTGATGGAGTGCGAAAAGATATGTGAATTCAGAGACAATTCTATGACAAATGTTCAAGAACTGTGTAAATTTTTCATTTAAAATAATCTGCTAGAAGTCTTGGCCAAATATCCCCTAGTTTGCTAACTGTAGGTAGTAACTAAGTGATTGTAACCTATCCACCGCTGCCCATTGGATGAGGGGCGGTGTGCAGGACAAACATATCAATTGTGACACTAGCTCTCCACATATGTCAGTTGCTTGTGGTCGGTCCGGAGCCCATTGTTGTGACAATGTGCATTGAATTTTGTAACTAGCTCAAGATTGTAACTTGCTTAGCTAAATGAATTGTGGGGTTCAGTTGCTGAGCCCATTATATGCCTTTGTAACCCCTTTCCAGTACCAACCACAACATGGGTATGTGATGCATAATGAGTTAAACTAACATGTTCGGCATTCATAGACACGATAAAGACCTAATTTATTGGGATTGTCTAAATGCTCTCAAAATGCACTTTCTAGTAAGGAGATGAGAGACTTATCAAATAATACATACATGGAAAGTACTGGAGGGCCAGGTCCCAAATTTGCACCATAATAGTATCATACTGGAGTGAATGATATGGGAGGAAATGCAGAATAGAACCTGTGAAGAACAGAGATGCCATGGGCACAATCAGATAACACTGCATAAACATCAGAGGTCTTCAGTTATTCAACATCCTCCCAGCGAGCATTGTACTTAGGCTTGCTTAGGGTAGGAGGAAGGCCAAGGGATGGGGAAGCAGAGGGTAGTTGGGGTGAGAGGTGGGGGGAGGGAGGTTTTGGGTGGCATGGTTGGCATTGTGTAGGGGGGTCTGGGGGGGCTCCTTGGGTGTGGCAGGTGGGGTGTTGCAGTTCTTTTTGGGTTCCTGAATTGCTTGTTGTGGGTTCCCCACAACAAGCAATTAAGATTACTGCAGCTATTCAATTACAACAACTTAGGTAAGTGTAATTACCTATTGTGTAGTTACAGGATGAGAGCTACGCTTGTGGTGTCCCGTCTTAGACGCAAAATGCCAGAAGAAAAACTAAAGAAACCCCCAAAATCACGCAACTAGGAAACAAGCAGCTAGAGAGAAACATTGACTGCCGTGTAATAGTAATGCAGGCTGTCCAGCTGCAGTGTGCACCACCAGCAAACAAGCACTCTTCAACCCGGGGCAAGACTGACAGCCCAAGACCCCCAGCCTACCTCAGAGTGAGGACAACCCCCAAGCGAGGAAGCCCTCTAATGAGGAGTGAATCCCAAATACCCCAGGGAAGATAACCCTGAAATGCAAGGGCAGTACTGTACTTATGGAGTACCTAGGGAAGGGGTCCCTAGGCATGTGCAGCTCCTAGTACACTCAATACACCTGGCCACTGCACAACACACGTGTAAGAACAGCCCCTCAAGGCAAAAATCCAGAACAGGAACTTGAGGCCACAGATGACTGACCACCAGCACATCAGTTCAAGAACTGGAGTGGTGGGTTATCGGCCCACCCAGGCCGGCTCTGTAATGCTAATGAGGAGGGGGCTAGTTGGGTGACGTGTTGCTTTTTTTTTTTCTGGGGGAGTTCTTTTGCCATTTTGAGGATGTAGCTTGCATATTTTAACCAGACAGTGGTCTCTCTTGATTCGCCTACCTTTCTAGGGTTCTTCCCCGGGTCGATGGCAAGTATGACATACTTTAAGTGTAAAGTGTTCATAGACCATTATTACCTGCGCCTCTCTGAGGGGACCAGGTTCAGATTCGTGGTCCCCTCCCCCATCCTTTCCTGTAAGCTTAAAGACTCTGTGACTGATAACCTCAACATACTGTATAGCACTATATCAGGTTGAATAGCCTCAGGAAGTCTCCAGGGCGTACCCAGAAACTGGTGTTTAATTAATTACATTCAACGCTTTTTTCTGGGTTCAATGACATTGGTGGGTTCAGTTTTTTTCTTTTTTTTGAATGGCAGGGTAGCAGGCAGACTGGCTGTGGTCATGCCTGATCCACTCCTCAGCTCCCCCATCTTTGCTACATCCTACCCCTCTCCATCCCCACACCGGACTTTCCCATAAATATCCCCACCCCCTCCTGCAGCATCTAGACGATCAGTACGGGAGTAATACGGTTCAGATTCTTGGCTTCCGTCCTTCCAGATGGTGGCCTTGGTGAACAAGCCTTGGTTTGTAAAAAACTCATGCTGTTTACAAACTGTGACTGATTGCTACCACAACTGTGAATGCCTTCACAGTTGTGAAGGCAATGCAAATACAGTATGTGATATTATATTACGTTACCAACATAGACATACCCAGTGGATAATCCTCATGGATTTTCAGGCAGTGTGGTAAAGATGCTAATTGAATCACTGCTGAACAAGGGGCACATTTTGGATACTTAGTTATTATACCAGCCCCTTGCTAACTTTGTTGCTGCTTGAACATAAGACTGGAGTCTGTGGCACAGGTAAGTGACAGAAAGAAATGCCAGTGTCTGGTACAGGTGTTTCAGATGTTGGCTGAGAAAAGCGACAAAATTTGATCAGTGCGTTGGAAAGACATAAGAAGTGAAAATGTTGACAATGATTTGTACTGGTGACATGGTAGACAGTGGCAAACAGAACTTTGCAGCACAAGGTAAATCATATCGACCAAATTGTGTAAATCATATCGACCAAAATATAAATAAGAGAGTATGGATAAATGTGACATGATGGTAGGCTCTGAGGAATGGGTGCAGAAAACTGTAAAGTGGACCAGGAAATTGTTTTTCATGTAATTACCTAAGTGTAGATACAGGACGAGACCTACGCTTGTGGTGCCCCGTTTACCCAGCACTCTGTTATATGTAAAGCTTTGAAACTACTGACGGTTAAAGATGATGATTCAGTCTTTGGGTGCAACTCTCGACTGTGAGGCCACGGAGGATGCTCCCACAGTTGGGCTACCACGGCTTCTAAGAAGACACATTTGGTCATTGGGTAGAACTTTGCACTGCACGGCCACTGAGGACGCTCTTAAAGCTGGGCTACGATGACTTACATGTGGGATGTGGTGGATGTAACTGTGCTGAAATGTTTCAACATGTAAATTGCCATCCACACTTCTGTGGAAATAAACATTCCATTCACCTGGACTGTATGGGTCTCGAACTGTGGACCCCACTCGTGTGAGGCCGTAGTCTTAAAAAGGAAAGTTTCCAGAACTTTCCAGGGCACTCACATGTGGGGTCCACGGTTCGAGACCCATACAGTCCAGGTGAATGGAATGTTTCAACATGTATTTCGTGAAATCAGGCAAGAAACCACCGATCCGTAATTTTAGTCTTGCTTTGTTGTCGCTGTTACTTGTCAAGTTTGGCCAGGAATGAAATGTTGCAAGGAAAGTTTTTATGCCAACAATGCCTCGCACTGCTCCTAACAGACATGGTTGCAAAGGCTATTTTTCACTACACAAGCTTAGTTATATAATAGGTACAGGCAGACTTGCATAAGGTATGTGTTAGTGCATTGTCAAAAGCGCGCACACAAAGAAGACAGTAGTAGTGGAAATTAGTATGTACCTGGTGCACAGAGTGCAAAGTTGCCTTGTGCACCATTGAGTTTTTCGGTAATTATCACCACCTGTGAAGTACAGTACTGAGTGTGTAGTATAGTGTAATTTTGTACTGTATGGATTTGTGAGCCCCTTGAGGGACTTAAATTAGACGAGAATAGAAATAGCCTAAGCTACTCTATCCTTTTGAGATGTATTTCATTACCTCAATAAATGAAATTGAACTTGTAGTATATATATTACATTTACAATTATTATTTAACCTATCAACAGTATAGGTTAAGTAATAATTGTAAATAAGAAGCAATAAGATGCTTATCTTAACATACTAAGAAGGTTAGGTGAGGTCGATGTTTTCTATGAAGCTTTTCACGGTAAACTAAAATATTTACAATCAATTAGTATGTCACATATGCACTTATTAAATAAGCCAATATTGACTATAAGCAAGTGCGAGAACGGGTTGGTGTGTGTTAGTGTAAATAGTGTTTATGAAGTGAATATTGAACAAGTATTATTGTGACGATAAACATTTGTAGTGGACACATTAGTGACACGTTTGTCATACTTATTAGCAACACACATTCTACTGTGTACAAAACATAAATGACATCCATGTGCATAAGATAAGGAAAAACAAGAAAACAAATTAAATATATTAATAAAAATAGTAAAAAAAAAATGTTGCAACTCATTGGTCTTGAATCTGCTGTACGACCGGCTTTAGGAGTCTCCTATGTGAGTGACCATGATTTTATGACATTGTCATGCAACTTCTATGCTTTACTACAGCCACAGTAAGTGGATTTTTTTATATTTTTGTTTCATGATCAGGAAAGGAATTTGAACAATATTAAAAGAAAAATTACGAATACATTTTTTATGCTTATCATCGAGCCGTCATGTTAAACGGGTGTGAATTTCAGTGCTTAAAAGAAATACAAAAAGGATATATATCTGCCTTTCTATAATTGGTTAGTATCATCTAATGTTGGAAGTAAAGGCCAAACAAATATTTTTTTTTTTTGGTGTATTAATATCTGTACAGTGGAACCTCGGGTTTCAAATGCACCTCTTTTTTGTATTTTGTGGTTCTCGAGCTCAATTTCTACAAAAAAATTGACTTGGTATTCGTAGCTTGCCTCGTTGCTCAAGTTTGTTGATACACATATGGGCCGGCCAAGCACACGGCACGCTTCAGTTCACCTGTGTCTTGCACCTAGTGGTGATCGCGCTTGAATTTTTTGTGAAGAATTTAATTGTTTTGTGCTTTTTTGGTCTCTGAACATAAAAGGTCTTATTATATATCGCGGTTTGTGGTTCCAAGAAAGTAAGTGGTAGAGTTCAACCTAAGAAAATAGTTGTGAGGGTGACGATAGAGGAAAAACAAGAGATCGTTCATAGTGAGACAGTGTGACGTCTCACTACAGACAAGTGTTAAAACGTAGGGAAAAACAAGAGTCTATAAATAGATTCTTAGTAAACAAGCAAGCGGTGAGCCACAACCAGGTCCTAGTGGTTTGCCTGCAAAACGTAAGAAAGAGAGCACCCTAGAAATGTCATCACTGCCTGATGTTTTAATGGAAGGGGACTCCCCTTCCAAACACTTAACACCTCTCCTCCCCCCTCCCCTCCTCCTCACCATCTTCCATATGCCAACTAAAGTCCTCCATAAAGGTAAGATACCTATGAGTAGTTTTCTGTATAAAATGTTTTTAATTAATATTTTTGGAAGTGTGGAACGGATTAATTCAATTTACATTATTTCATATGGGAAAATTTGTTTTGGTTTTCGAACCGTCTCTGGGAATGGATTAAATTTAAAAATGGCGGTACTACTGTATAAGGATTGGGGGATGCCTCTCACTTAAGTGATTGCAACAAACGTGCTGCAGTTTGATTTGTATTTTTTAAAGTTGTTGGTCGTGGAATGTATCCAATTATTCCAATAAGCTCCTTCACGAAATACTACACTACATGGTCTGGTTTGACATGGTGCAGAAGAAGGCAGCCTACACAAAAGCACCATCTACTTGGAAAGAAGTATGTTTTCATACATATGTGGAGAAAGCTACAGTTCAGTAATCTTCTTGATGTCTTTGATCTCTGTTTCTTTGCAAAGAGATGGGAGATACCCGTTGAATATTTTTGTATATTCTGTTTGAAATTTATTTAGGTCTATTTTTATAAAAAAAATTCCTTATTCTATTCAAGAAAATAGCAGCTGCATATGAAAATTATAAGATTCTTGCTTAGATGAAATTATTGTGATTAGGGAAACTGTAATATTTGTAAGAGTTAATATGTAGCATACTTAGATTCAATAAACTAAATCTTCTATTTAATTAATAGCTCTCTCTTTCTCCTCCAGATCAAAACTGATCGGGGAGGTACTTATGCATCTCACACAGTTAGGCCGGTACATGATAGATTAGGTGTACGTCACCCTAACAAAACCCTTAACAAGACAATTGTTGAACCTGTCAGTGAGGATAAAAATGAGAAGGTAAATGATTATTTGGAAATAGTTTTTACGGTGATTGTTAAACCATTTGTAAAAATAATAAATGTTAGAATGGTGTAGTATTTGGTTTGAAACAAATGTTTTGTTTCATATAGTGATTCAAGATTTATGTATGTAATTAAAGGATTTTTGTGAGTTTTTCATACAATAACCTTGATTCTTAGTTTTTAAAGATAAAAATATTATCATGATCTAACAAGTATCTAGATTTTTAGCATTATCACTGGTCAGGATTAAATTTTCTGGGGTTGCCCACTCTGTGACTTCCCAGAGCTTTTGCATTTGTACCATATGGTCATTATCATCTCGCTAGACTATCTCATTGCCTATTGTGAGTGGGGACCAGAATCCTGCCTCCCCACAGTAGTGGGGACCAGAATCCTGCCTCCACACAGTAGTGGGGACCAGAATCCTGCCTCCCCACAGTAGTGGGGACCAGAATCCTGCCTCCCCACAGTAGTGGGGACCAGAATCCTGCCTCCCCACAGTTGTGGGGACCAGAATCCTGCCTCCACACAGTAGTGGGGACCAGAATCCTGCCTCCCCACAGTAGTGGGGACCAGAATCCTGCCTCCCCACAGTAGTGGGGACCAGAATCCTGCCTCCCCACAGTAGTGGGGACCAGAATTCTGCCTCCACACAGTAGTGGGGACCAGAATCCTGCCTCCCCACAGTAGTGGGGACCAGAATCCTGCCTCCCCACAGTTGTGGGGACCAGAATCCTGCCTCCCCACAGTAGTGGGGACCAGAATCCTGCCTCCCCACAGTAGTGGGGACCAGAATCCTGCCTCCCCACAGTAGTGGGGACCAGAATCCTGCCTCCCCACAGTAGTGGGGACCGGAATCCTGCCTCCCCACAGTAGTGGGGACCAGAATCCTGCCTCCCACACAGTAGTGGGGACCAGAATCCTGCCTCCCCACAGTAGTGGGGACCAGAATCCTGCCTCCCCACAGTAGTGGGGACCAGAATCCTGCCTCCCCACAGTTGTGGGGACCAGAATCCTGCCTCCCCACAGTAGTGGGGACCAGAATCCTGCCTCCCCACAGTAGTGGGGACCAGAATCCTGCCTCCACACAGTAGTGGGGACCAGAATCCTGCCTCCACACAGTAGTGGGGACCAGAATCCTGCCTCCCCACAGTAGTGGGGACCAGAATCCTGCCTCCCCACAGTAGTGGGGACCAGAATCCTGCCTCCACACAGTAGTGGGGACCAGAATCCTGCCTCCACACAGTAGTGGGGACCAGAATCCTGCCTCCATACAGTAGTGGGGACCAGAATCCTGCCTCCCCACAGTAGTGGGGACCAGAATCCTGCCTCCCCACAGTAGTGGGGACCAGAATCCTGCCTCCCCACAGTAGTGGGGACCAGAATCCTGCCTCCCCACAGTAGTGGGGACCAGAATCCTGCCTCCATACAGTAGTGGGGACCAGAATCCTGCCTCCACACAGTAGTGGGGACCAGAATCCTGCCTCCACACAGTAGTGGGGACCAGAATCCTGCCTCCACACAGTAGTGGGGACCAGAATCCTGCCTCCCCACAGTAGTGGGGACCAGAATCCTGCCTCCCCACAGTAGTGGGGACCAGAATCCTGCCTCCCCACAGTAGTGGGGACCAGAATCCTGCCTCCATACAGTAGTGGGGACCAGAATCCTGCCTCCACACAGTAGTGGGGACCAGAATCCTGCCTCCCCACAGTAGTGGGGACCAGAATCCTGCCTCCATACAGTAGTGGGGACCAGAATCCTGCCTCCCCACAGTAGTGGGGACCAGAATCCTGCCTCCATACAGTAGTGGGGACTAGAATCCTGCCTCCACACAGTAGTGGGGACCAGAATCCTGCCTCCATACAGTAGTGGGGACCAGAATCCTGCCTCCCCACAGTAGTGGGGACCAGAATCCTGCCTCCATACAGTAGTGGGGACCAGAATCCTGCCTCCCCACAGTAGTGGGGACCAGAATCCTGCCTCCATACAGTAGTGGGGACCAGAATCCTGCCTCCACACAGTAGTGGGGACCAGAATCCTGCCTCCATACAGTAGTGGGGACCAGAATCCTGCCTCCACACAGTAGTGGGGACCAGAATCCTGCCTCCCCACAGTAGTGGGGACCAGAATCCTGCCTCCCCACAGTAGTGGGGACCAGAATCCTGCCTCCATACAGTAGTGGGGACCAGAATCCTGCCTCCACACAGTAGTGGGGACCAGAATCCTGCCTCCATACAGTAGTGGGGACCAGAATCCTGCCTCCACACAGTAGTGGGGACCAGAATCCTGCCTCCACACAGTAGTGGGGACCAGAATCCTGCCTCCCCACAGTAGTGGGGACCAGAATCCTGCCTCCCCACAGTAGTGGGGAAGACGAGGATGTTATAAAATACCGCACACAGAGGAAAGCTATGCCAAAAAGTTATAGAGATGATCACTAAGGCTGTAAAAACACAGAAATGTTTGGTACAAACAAATAACAAATAAAACTCAAACTATCCCAGACAACTAAAAACCACTCCACAACTTCCGAATCCATCATCATGGTAAATTCCTATGCAGGATGGTCTGTCTATTAGTGAAGGGAATTTTGTTTCTGCACTCGTACATCAGTTTATTCCTTCCGGGCTTCTTAACAGATGTTTCTGAATGCCATTGGCCATTAGATTGGTTGTCTGAACAAAGTTTTCAGTTTAACTTTTTGTCAGTGCAAGTTGGACACTACCTGCTGGTCTTGCTACTGTACGGATGAATTCTTGCATTAGTTTTTTTCCAGATCTCTCTTGTTTACCTTTTCACCAGCTTTGTGTTTGCTGTTCAAAGTTCTTGCTTCCTCTTGGCAAGCACTTTCTCATTTTGATTTCTTTTTAGTAGAAGTCTAGTTCTGTGCTAGCTCCATTCTCCATTTTCATTGTTTCAGTTTTCTGCTGTATTCCTGGTTCACTAGGTCTTGAACCACTCTTGGCTTGTTTCCCTGTTTATTCAGCATACCTCTTAGTTTAGTCTGGGATTGCCCTTAGGATTGTCAGGTTTTGGATGGACACCTCAATGTCTACGTTTAAGCCTTTTTTTTTTAGTTTTTCGGCCTCAGTTTTGCTTCAGGTTCTTTTTTTGGGGTCTCTTAGCAAAAGCTATCTTTGCAGCATCCAGACATGTGCTTTTCTTACCAGCTGGTAAGTTTAATTCCTCTGTTTCTTGATCAGCATTTGCCACTCTACTGACCCTCTCTTTCACTCCTAGTTTTAAACCCTTTGTTTGACTTAGTGTGATCCTTTCTTTGCTGCTATGTTTTTGGCATTTTAGTTGGCCCTGTCAAGTGTTTGGGTCTTCTGTCTCTTTTTAGCCTTTCATTCCTCCTGAACCATGACTGTTTATAGTATTTGCTCTTGCAAAGACTTATAAACACTGGTTTATAGTCATCTCAATAGTTTCCAAGTAATGCCATCAACGATACTTGTTATGTTACCAGCAGTTGTCTGGGTTGCACTTGGTTGGCCAGTCATATGGGAGAGCTCTATGCTCTACTGTACATCATTGTAGTGCTTGCTATTCTTTTGGTCTGGTGGTTAAGGTTAAATGGCTGCATGTGCCTCCTTACTACTAATGTTTACTCTTTGTAGGAATTCTGTACTTTAATTTTTGTGGCTTGGTTATACCTCTTGTCCAATGGCTACTGTTTGCAGATTCTACAGAAGAGTTAAATTTCCATGTGATAGCAAGGTGATATTTCTGGCTGATCTCTTCTTAAAACAGCATTTTGACCCTAGTCAATTTTCTACACTGGCAGCTTTCTTTTATTGTGTCTAGAGCCATGTTCTGAGTCCGAGGCTTCTTGTGCTCATTTAAGTGATAGCAGTCATATGTCACTCACCTTCCCTCTTTCCCTGATAGTAGATGTTGTCTTGGGATAGGTGTTACATTCCTAAGTTCTTCCCATATTCATTTGAGTCCAGCATCTAGGAAGTTTATGTACCTATTTACTACAAGATAACGAGTACATTAGGGTGAAAGAAACTGCCCATTTTGTTTCTCGCCGGCGCCGGTAATTTAACCCAGGCCACAAGATAACGTGTCCAGTGTGCTGTCCACACGGCCATCGGCACACACGGCCACACACCGGTGTGTGTGTGTGTGTAATTACCTAAGTGTAATTACCGAGTGTGTGTGTGTGTTTGAAATATGGTTCCCCAGCTGTCCCACTGTAAGGGGGCAGGATTCTGGTTGGTTGTTTCGGTCGTGTCACACTCGGTGAGATTGTATCGGTTCTGGTGTACCAGCGCATATGCCTAGGGAAGTCACTGAGCAACTTGCAGAAGGGGCACTAAATTTTTTTTTGTAATGTTATAGAGATCGTTCATTTTAGTAAGCAAGGTGAGCTGTTTTGTATAATTGTCAGTGTATTTGTTTCTCATGTTTCTAGTAAAATGTTTCAAATTGTAATTAAATACATGTACAGTATTTAGATTACAGTATGCAGCATTAATAATTTATGAACAATTTATTAATGCCTAGTTTTACCCATGGTAGGCAGAGCTTGGGAATAAATGTTACGTTAATTTAGGGTTGGCTCAAATTAATAATTATTATTTAGTTGGCTTGTTGGTATTAATTATTGGGTAGTTGGCTTGTTGGTATTAATTATTGGGTATTTGGCTTGTTAGGTATTAATTATTGGGTATTTGGCTTGTTAGGTATTAATTATTGGGTATTTGGCTTGTTAGGTATTAATTATTGGGTATTTGGCTTGTTAGGTATTCATTATTGTGTATTTGACTTCTTAGGTAATTATGGTTATCAGGTATATGAGTATATGAACCCTGAGTAAATATGGTGAGCATCAAAGTTAAAGGAGATTATTGATATTATGTAATAAAACATTTCAAATATCACTCCTCCAAATACATCATTGACAATACAATATACAGTACATCGTGGAAAAACAAATACAGTACTGCCACACCGGAGCAGTGATCCACAGGAGCAACCCACTGCTTCACAAGACAGGCATTGCTCCTCGTGGAATGGAACAGTACAGTGTACTCTCACTTGAACAAGCCCATACACAACAAACCCCTTCATACCATTCCACATTCCATTGCTTCTGGTGTTGGCTCGGGCATGATCATTTTCCTAACTTACATTTTGTTTTTACGGTTAACTATTCAACATTTATCATTATTTGTTAATGACACGAAAAACATTTAATACGTCTGTATAAACCCAAAAAGAAAATAATACATTATAGTATTTTTTTTTTTATATAATTGACCTTTGGAGTGAAGCTGCACTTCAGCCTTGAATGGGCAAGTGAGGTGTGTGTGTACTGTCATTTAGAGTGTTGTACCTGGTGCTGGTACCACTGCCATAGTCCATCACCAGGCTGGTGTTGCTGCACATTTGTCCTACTCCAATTGAAAAAAATAGAAATCTTGTAAAGTTCACAGTAACACACCCACATTAAGTAAAACATGGCAAACACTGGTGGGGTAAGCATGATGTGATGCTTACTGTGCTTACTGACTCCAGTAAGCACAGTACCGTACAGTATTTCTGAAAAAAATTATTGGTTAATATTAAATTGAATCTAATTTACTGTACTGTAATTAATTTAAAACAATTGTTAGTTTTTTTTATTATATTTACTATTTCTAGTTAACAATTTTTTTTAGTGTATTGAGATAAAGTATTTCATTGATGCTGATGTCAGTGAGTACCTGTTCCTAAAAAAATGTCTGTCTGCCAATTGGGTAATTGACAAAATTATCCAGTGCTTCCAATCATCATCAGATTTTGCAAAGGAAGTAAAAGGTGTTACAAGCAGCATTCCAAAGGAACAGGTTTCATTAGTGCAGAGAAACACAGTCCATAATGTAGAAATGCATTTGTTTCTTTCTTACGAGCCACTTCCATTCATCCTGTTTTTTCTGCCCACCACCTTCTCTTACTGTTCCTCAAATTCACTTGATTCCACTCACTTGAGCAGTCTAATTTCATAAATTAATTTATTCAATTAACATACCTAAATCATCTCAGTATTTTCTCTAATCTTGAAGTTTATTCACTTTAGCACTCCACATATCTTTCAGGCATTAGGAGTGAGCAACTGAACCTTTGTGACATGTGGGGTGTACACTATACAAAATATTTTTGCTTTGGAAGTGTTTGTAGTTGCACAAACTGGTAAAATAAGAAGAGAACCTGCTTTGTAGGACAACAGTGTGACGATACATATGTGGAGAAAGCTACAGTCCAGTAATCTTCTTGATGTCTTTGATCTCTGTTTCTTTGCAAAGAAATGGGCGATACCCCATTGAATATTTTTGTATATTCTGTTTGGAATTTATTTAGGTCTATTTTTATATAAAAAATTTCTTATTCCATTCAGTAAAATGGCAGCTGCATATGCAAATTACAGGGTATAAGATTCTTGCTTAGATGAAATTATTGTGACCAGGGAAAATTTAATATTAACTTTTTTTCTTAACTGCTCTTGTCACAGTCATCCTACAAAGCAGGTTCTCTTATTATTTGACCAGTTTGTGCAACTACACAGACGCCCAACGCAAAAATTTTTTGTAAAGTGTACATTCCACATGTCACAAAGGTTCATTTGTTCATTGTGTCTTCTCCACCATTACTTAATCTTTTGTACTCCTTTACCAATTCTTTCTGATTTATTCCTCTTACATTCCCCACCGCCACACAAACCTGCATTGGTAAGAAAGTTTTAGATAGCTGGGTCCCCAGCCTAGTGTGTCTGTGCTTGTAATACATGATGAAGGGGAAGCTTTGCTAATTGCTCTCCTTCCTCACCCCCTAACACACTAAATCACTCAAATATACATACAAAAATACTCCAGATCAACATTAAACAAAATTATTATCTATATATATAGGCAAATTTCTTTGTTGCTTGTCCAGAAAGGCAAGAACAAAAGAATGACCCCCCCCCCTCCTTAATAGACATAATTATAGTTTATTTACTGTTTTGTACTTTGTACCATCCACTAATCTTCACACACAAATGTGTGTTTAGACATTGGCTATGGTGACTGAGCTTCCCCATGATGCTGCCATGTGTTTCATGATTATATATAGCTAGCAAATTGCCTGCATTAAGCTCAAATGTGCCAAAATCATGGAAGTTGATATATGCAGTTTCTTTGAATTATAAAGCTACATCATTTAAATTAGATTTGACGTATGTATTTTACACAGGGGTATTGTGAAATTTTTTCAGATATTAGGAAGTAATTAAAAGGGTTTAGAGATTGAAAGCAAATGTGATTTAAATTACCTTGAGGTTGAAGCAGGTCATGTTTTTGTGTAACAAAGATTCTGGCAAATATTCCCATCAATTAAGATTTTGAAGCATGTATGAAAATTTTATTTTGAGTCTGACAGAGTTTGTTCTGGTTTGACTCACTCAGTTAAGATTAGTTTTGATATTTTTAAGGTTATTTTGTACAAGTTGATTATACTGTATATTACTTTAGCCACTTATTGTTATTCAACTTTACTAGGTGATGATGTCACGTGGCAGCCTAGTCAAAACTGTTTATAATACCCACGCCCTTCATTCTGCTGCTGCTGCTGCAAGTGCTGTCAATGTATCTACTTACACTCCTACATCACCGGGAAGTGTCACCCCTACTTCTCCTGTCTCTGGATCCCATTCCTTACCGACAGCAACTGGTGCTGTCACACCCACCTCGCCTCTAGCAGGTCCTCCTTCATTGTCAACAATTGTCCCCGATTCTACACACGCTGCTGCTGTTGACACGAAGAGACAAGAGATTGAGTCGATTCTAAAACAGCGAGAACTCTTGGCTGCTGAGGTAATTAGATGTTTTATAAATGCAGTTTATAAAACAGTTTATAAATACTATTAATTTTAAGTAATAGTATTTTTAGCCTCAAAGTTTTAAATCGAGAAATTTTGATGTAGCAAGTTTTGAAATGAGAAAATGGTGCTGTTATATTTAGGTATTATTTGAAGGGATACCATATAGTTTTCACTTGTTTAAACAAAAAACAAAATATACCAAAACACCCACCAGGAGGCCTGGTCAGAGACTGGGCTGTGGGGACGTTGAACCCCTGGAACCAACAACCCGTAGACAACAGGTCAACCCTGTTGACCTACTAGGATAGGTCAACAGAAATCTGAATTTCTTCTCTCCTCTACCATAGAGAGAAGAAACAGATGTGATATGTTTACAACATACAAGATACTGATGGGAATAGACAGAATGAATAAGGGCAGCCTCTTTAAATTAACCCTCAAACCGCGCATATCAGTGACAAAACCGAAACCACGCACATCATTTATATATGATTTCGTGTCTAGCGCTATAATTTAAACGCCCCGCCTGGGATAGGGGCAGCTGTAGTACAGCCACGACCGATAGTTGCCAGATGCCACCTAGAAAAAAAATCCAAGCCAACATTCTTGGGTGTTACAGCGTCAGTATTGAGCAAGCCACCAAGGCTGGTGCACGCAGCACGAGCTCACAGCACCGCTGTTCAGCTTGTGACCACAGCATCGCCTACAAACACCATAATATAAATGATACTGCTATTATTTAGCAGTGATAGTATTACTGAAGCCCCCTGACTGTGATAAAACTGACCAAGACTCTGATAATAGCAGGATTGTGGTGATATTTAGCGCTGTGCTCCATGGAGGGAGGAGTAAGGCTGTGGGAGGGAGGGTTGTGGCGTCGTTTTCTGACTGTGTGTGGCCACCATTTATTGACTGCACTCACCATACCAGCTTAGTGGTTCGATATGGTGAACACAAATGTAGATACTTATATATAACGTGTGTATAGTGTGAGATAACAGCAAGAGGAGTAGGTTGGGAGCCGCCATTTTGGTGAGGGAGGAGCGTCGTCTGCACGACTTGGCATGTTGTTTACTGATGGCCACTATGGTCTTTGGGCACCATACCAGCTTATTTGTTCAGGTATGGTGAATAAAACAGGTAGATACTTATATATAATGTGTGTATATAGCGTAATAACACCACAAACAATATTGTTGAAGGACAAATATTAGTGCGTCTGGCCTTGAGGGCGGCCGCCGATCAGCTGACTGTGTGAGTAGCTACGTCTTATGGTCTTTACTCACCATACAAGCTTAGATGTACAGTTATGGTGAACAAAACATGTAAATACGTATATATAACGTCTGTGTATAGTGAATAAATACAGAAAGAGTATTGTGGGAGGTGAATGAGGGTGAGTGAGGTGGTGTTGAGGGAGGGAGTGGCAGTGAGTGGCTCGCTGATGTTTGGCGGTCACTCCTCATTGCTTTTTGACTCACAAGACCAACTTAGTAGTTCGTTATGGTGTACAAAACATGCAAATACTTATATATAACCTGTGTATATAGTGTAACAACAGCAAAACTATTTGTTTATTGTTTTATGAACATAATAATTGAATCACTAATATGCACACCATAATTTTGAGTACAGCGATGGTTCACACATTTCATAATATAAATATACCACAATTCACTGTATGGAATAATATTACTGCAAAAAAACTAAGAAAAAATCAATCAGAGACATTGAAATAATTAGGTAATAATATATTTGTGGCAACTGCCGTCTGACAGCTCGGGCGGAGTAGACCTCGTCTGGAGAAGGCTCTGCCAACGCTTCTTTTTTGCCACACTTCCCTACCCTATTGCGGCTAAAATATTCCACCTACGATTTTTTTTTTATTTTTTCCGTGATCAGGGAACAAAAATGAACACTTCTATAAGACGAAAGAATTTTTTGGATTTTTTTTTTTGTTGCGCCTGTGGGTGTGAATTCCATTTGGGCCCCTAGTGGTTTGAGGGTTAAGAGAACATAGGACAAAAGGACATAGGTGCAAGCTGGAAATGAAGGTTAACCCTTAAATGGCGCATAGCTATATACCATTTGACACCCACAGGCGCATACCAAAAAAAAAAAAAAAAAATTATTTTTTCTTCCTAACCTGTTAATTTGTGTTCAATGATCACGGGAAAAATAATAAAAAAATCGTAAGTGGCATATATTGCCCACTATAGGGCGGGGAAGTGTGACAAAAATCAGGCGCTGACTGAGCGTGCGTCCCAGGCGGTCTGTTGATCGCCAGCTGTCAGGCCAGAGTTTCCACAAAGAGATAATTACCTAATTATTTCAATGTCTCTGATTGATTTTTCGTAGTTTTTTTGCTGTAATATTATTCAATAGTGTGTAGTGTGATATATTTATATAATAAAATGAGTGAATCATCGCTGTACTCAAAAATATGGTGTGCGTATTGTTGATTCAATTATGTTCATCAAACAGTGAACAAATACTTTGTCGGTTATTACACTATATACACAGGTTATATATAAGTATCTGCATGTTTTGTTCACCATGACAAACCACTAAGTTGGTATGCTGAGTGGCAGTGGCAGTGGCAGGCAGTGACTGGCTGCCACTGGCTGCCACTCCCTCCCTCACCTCACCTCACCTGCCTTGCCACCATTCTCCACCCACCATACTGTTTTTGCTTTTATATACAGACGTTATATATAAGTATTTACATGTTTTGTTCACCATAACTGTACATCTAAGCTTGTATGGTGAGTAAAGGCAGAGAGACGTAGCTACTCACACAGTCAGCTGGTGGCGGCCGCCCTCAAGGCCAGACGCACTAATATTTCTCCTACAACAATACTGTTTGTGGTGTTATTACGCTATATACACACATTATATATAAATATCTACCTGTTTTATTCACCATACTTGTACAAGTAAACTGGTATGGTGCCCAAAGACCATCGTGGTCATCAGTAAACAACATAAGTCCTGCAGACGACGCTCCTCCCTCACCAAAATGGCGGCTCCCAACCTCCTACTCTCGCTGTTATCTCACACTATACACACGTTATATATAAGTATCTACATTTGTGTTCACCATAGCGAACCACTAAGCTGGTATGGTGAGTGCAGTCAATAAAAGGTGGCCACACACACTCAAAAGACAACGCCACCATCCTCCCTCCCACAGCATTACTCCTCCCTCCATGGCGCACAGCGCCAAATATCACCACAATCCTGCTATTATCAGAACCCTGGTCAGTTTTATCACAGTCAGGGGTCTTCTGTAATAATAGCATCGCTACATAATAGCATGAACAAGTATATTATGGCATTTTTAGGCGATGCTGTGGTCACAAGCTGAACAGCAGTGCTGTGAGCTCATGCTGCGTGCGTCAGGCTTGGTAGCTCACTCAATACTGAGGCCCCTAACACCCTGGAGTTTGGCCCACGATTTTTTTTAAAAATGGCGTCTGTTTACAAGAGCCCTGATGAAGGTGTGGTGAACCCCGTGTATCCGCAGGCCGCTTAAATCTTGCGTAGTACTCCAAAGCATCATATGATGCGATGCGCAATTGAAGGGTTAAGGAAGCCACCTCCTTCCATAGCTTTATGGCAGATTAGACAGATTATTCGAATGTCATGATAGTTGAATTATAATGTAACATGTACAACAATGCAAGCTGTGGGCCATAAAGAGCTAGACCTCATTTACTTGTAGTTATTGTTTGGTAAGCAGTTAGGTAAGCACCACCACAAAGCTACCACCGGTACCTCCACCACAATGTGTGTGTTCACCAAAACAACTTTCTCCCAACCTTCCTTCATAGTAACCTGTGCTCACTACACCTTCCTGAACTCATTGTTTTCCACTCCTGGCAGAAGGCTCTTTAACTTTCCCTTTGTGCGCCCAGCATTTCGGGCGACTGCGCGGCGACACTGAAATGTTTATACTCTTTTCGGTCTGCTGACCTTAATTTTCCATGTATGTATTTAATTTTGGTATCAATTTGTTCGCAAGAGAATGCTCTAGAGGAATATATATATAAAATTTCACCAAACCCGACGTGAGACCCGCACCAAATAAAAAACTATGGCAATCGTTAGCCGTGAGCACCAAACAGCGATGAAATGTTTATGCTCTTTTCAGGTTTGTCAACCCCAGGATTGTTCTACGTCGTTAATTTTGGTATCATTGTGATCGCAATAAAATTCCGTACACAGACATATAAATATAAAGTACAAGACATGGGCGCGTCCCACCCGCAAGACCGTGTGAATTTGCCCAAGGGTTACCAGCTACTGCATGCCCAACTGCACATCGGCTACACCCCTACTGAAAAGTTTATACTCTTTTCATGTTTTTGACTGTAATTTTCGATGTACATGTTTCATTTTGGTATCAATGTGTTCTCAATGAAATGTTCTAGAGGAACATACGTATAACATGTCACCAAAGCTAACGTGATGCCGGCACCAAATAAAAAACTAAGTCTTTGTTAGCCGTGCACGCTAAACAGCGCGAACATGTTGCTACTCTTTTCAGGTTTATCAAGTCCAAACTTGTTCGACATCGTTCTTTTTTGTATCACTGTGATCGCAATAAAATTTCCTACACAGACATATGCATATAAATTAGACAACATGGGGGCGCATAACTCGCAACGACCCCTAAAGTCGCCGAAACCTTACCCGCTAGAGCACACTCATTGCCACACCCGCTACACCCAATACACCCGACAAACACTTACAGTTTGCTAACAGAAGTTTTTGTGCAACATTGTTCATTGTGGTATCAAATTATTCGCAATAAAATGCTCTAAATAGAAAGACAAATATAAGCAATAACAACCGCAATATATATAAGCAATACCAATAACAAAGTATAAAGACTAAAGTCGGCCAAGTTACCCGTGAGCGCGCAAAATCAGTAAAATGTATATACTCGTTTCAGTTTTCTCACCTTATTTCTCGTGCTACATCGTTCGTTTTGGTATCATTGTGTTCGCAATAGAATTCTCTCTAGGGGTATATACATATAAGGTCTAACAGCCCGGAATGAGTCCCACAGCAAAGCCTAAGTTCGGCCAAGTTACCCGCGAACGAGCACCAATTGGCACACCTGCAGACTAATGTATATACTCGTTCAGTTTGATAACATAAATTTTGTACTATGTCCTTCATTTTGGTATCAAACTGTTTGCAATTGAGAGGCGAGTGTTTTAAAACTAGTCCCATAATAATAGAACAATAAATAGAATTTAAACAAATATTTTAACTTTTTGACGCTTTTTGACGCTCATCACCACAAAATGATTTATATCTTTCCAGTGTTCTGACATTAATTTTCATGTTACATCTTTCATTTTGGTATCAAATTGTGCGCAATCTATAGGCACTCATTTTGAAACCACCTAGAAGTTGATCAGATGAAAATTTAATTTTACGGTATACAAATATTTTAGTTTATGACTCTCAAGATAGTCATCGGATTACGTTAAGGAGAAAAACTTATGACTATAAACTCGCCCCTCGGGGCAAAATTAAATTTTTTTTTTTATGCTAGTAATAGGAGGGCTCGGAGCGCGATAGTGTTAAGCATCTATAATGACTGCATTCTCTGTAATCATTATACCACTTAATATATTCTGAAGTATAAAGGCTTGACACCTGTCTTGATTGGCCATGGTCTAAACATAAAATTTTTAAGTTTCTTGTACCAATTCATGTTTTGTGTTTTTACCTCAGGTTGCAGCCAAGCACAAAGTAGAAAAACAGAAAGCTGATGCAATGAAACTGAGATCTGAGGTTGAGCAGCGGAAGAGGCAGTTGTTGGATAAGCAGATGCAGCAGCTCAAGGTAAAGGAAATATGTATTATTTGTTTCAGTGGGAGAAGTTCTGCTTTATATATGGACTTTTTGACCATAACTAGAGTGGGGGTTCTGGGAGTTCTTCTACTCCCCCAATCCTGGCCTAGGACCTATATTGATTTCTGATAACCTGGTCCTATAGATTGGTGCTTGGAGTAGCAGTACTATATGAGCTTGGTTTTCAAAAGCCCACTGAAGTGGATATTTGGGTTATAGAGCCAAATTCGTGTCGAGATAAACCTTCATATCTGGACAGAAATCTGGAAACTGGTGATTTGGCTGGATAATGTAGAATGGCATAGAATCTAAGTCAATTCCAGATAATTATCTAGATAAACTTTGCCATACCCGGACAGAAATCTGAATAACCCGAGATTAGGTTACGTAAATTTTCATAACTACACATTTCATGATCTAAAGTACAGGTATTAAAGACAAATTTCAAGGTAAACTGAAGTTTGTTTTAAATTATATTTTCTGGGGGGAGCCCTGTTGGCTCCCCGGAGCTTATCCAGGCTGATACGGTAATGTCAGACTTTGGCATCAGTCATTTGCATGGAGTTCTACGGGCCTACCGAGGACCATGAGCCAGAACCTGGTCCCCGTCAGGGAGGCAAGGGGAGCAATGGCCTATAGAAACCTCCCCCCCCCCTGTGTGGTTGGAAGGAGTCTGTTTGCCATCGACCAGGTCAGGCATCTAGAAAGGTAAGTGTCCCAAAACAAACCCTCATTCTGGTGAAAATTTCTTCAAAAAGCCGAACAAGTGGATAGAACTCCCTAAACAGAAACGAGCAAACGATCATGATGTCACTCGTCACAGCGCCGCTGTCTGCGCAGCTCCCCCCTGCCCCGGAAGGGGAAGCCCCAGACCCCCCGCGCCGGCAATCTACTCCTCAGTTCTGAGGCTGATGCTATTGGCAGAAGTGATTGTGCTCTGTGTGATGCTCTGGCTCCAGTGATTGTTTCAGCACTGTGCCTTGTGTGTGGTGACTGTTTTCTAGTTGGTGCGTGAGCCAGGAGAGACTCTTCAGTACTAGGGTTGCATGCGCCTAGGGGGTTCCCTTCCCTAGGTGCCCAGTAAATACTGCCCTTGGGGCTTGGGGCCACCTTCCACAGTTGACCAGGCCACACCTTCCACAGGTTCCTTGGGTTCTGGCTCTGCTTTGCCATTTACTGCTTGGTTTTTGGCCACCCTTTGTGTGCCTGGGTGTTTTGTCTCTCTTGTTTACCTTAGGGTAGGGGGGCAGTTTGCACTGGTAAGGGGGCAGATGAACAAATGTAGTGTAGATTGGTAGATCGGGCTCTAGTTAACAGTACCCTCCCTGGGCTTCCCTGAGTGTGAGTTCCGTCTCGGGACCCTGGGAACCCCAAGGGGGCATGCTGGTCCGATGGATGTGACCCCTGAGTCCCCCCCTGGCTTTGTGCGAGTTCGAGGGTTGCTCTGTCCCCCTTGTCTCAGGGTGATTCGTTGTTTTTGCCTCCGTCATGCTGCCTGTTGGGTCGGTGACACTTTCGACCCGGAGTCCTGCGAGTTTTGTTGCTTGCTGGTGACTCAGTTTATCCAGTATAATAATGGTATTCTTCGGGTACAGGCAGCGCAAGCGTTGCATGTTAGGTTTCGGTTGTTGCAACGCGCTAGGTTGGTTGCTACGCCGGATGCTCCGAGGCTACCCCGTTTTGCTTATAGGGACCCGGACTTGGGGGTGATGGTCGCTTCGACCTTGGTTTTGTCTGCACCCCTTGTCCTTTCCCTGTTGTTGTTCGGTCTAGTTCCCCCCCCCCCCCTACTTCCGGCTCAGAAAAGTCTGAGGGTTTCCAAGTCGAGGCAGGGTTTAGACGGTCTTGAGACTCGGGTAGTCTCAGGGATTCCCCTTCCGGTGTGGCGATGGAGGCATTAGAGTCTGATCTCCCAGCTGAAGCCTCTGGGGTCTGACCACTGGGCCCCCTTCTGTCCGACTTTTATGGCTGTGCCAGCCTTTTCTTTTGAGGCCAAGGCTTTTGGGAGATGACTCGCCCCGGGTCCAGATGCGAAGAAACTCTGGGGCTGGGGAGGGGCTGACTTTGGGCCCTTACGCTCCGTTGGACCACGCCTGGAGTTTTCTGCCCTCTGAGCAGAACTGTTACTGTTACAAGGAGTGGGGTTTTCTTCCCCCCTCCCCCCTCTGCGTACGAATTGGATTTGGTGTCTGCCCCACCACCGGGTACGGTTGTGTCCCCCTTCAGGTGCTTCGGTCCTGTCTTTCCAGAGGTTTTCGACTTCCCGCATCCAGCCTAATGTGGTGCGTGAGGCCTTTATGGTTTACCTTCTGTGCTAGTCGGATTATGCCTCTATCATGGATCCGTCTTAGTTCAGGTTTGGGTCTTTGTTTCCCTACTGGATCCGGTATGAGGTTCCGGAGTCGTCCTGGCTGGCGGACTGTCCTGTTTTTTGGTTTGGAGGCATGGCATACCTTCTGTCGTTACCGCACGCTTGAGTGGCGTGAGGCATTGACAGTGGTCCAGGTTTTCCTGGGGGGCGAGTTTGAGCACCTCAATGAGTGCTTGTTTGCCCCTGCCCTACCTCGGGATGTAGGCCAGGATTTTACACAACTCCCCCCTGCACCCGAGCTATGTCAATAGGCTGTTCTCCCTCTTCGTCCTTACATCATTTTGGCCTTGTTTGTGCCTCGGAGAGGCTACGGGATCCAGTAAGTTCAGTAGAATTTCGGTTTCAACTCTTTTTAACCCTGTCGTAGCTCAATTTATTAAGGCAGTGTCTGGGATGCTCCCGGACGCAGTTTCGAATCCTTGTCATGGCCCTTGTGGATTTGTTGGTATCTGAGATCATAACGTCCCTGATTATGTCTTCGTTGTATAAGACCAGATCTAGAATAGTCTCATTTTTAGGAAAAATGCAACTTCTCTAGGCCACTACAGCTAAACTGCAAGAGGTAGAGACCCTTTACTTGCATTTTCATGCTTCATGCGGTGCTATTTAACAATACCAAAAGAAAAATTACTGATGGGACCTGGTACAGTATTATGTCACACGATCAAAGAAAGTAGCTTCAGGGAGCCACCGGACTCGCCCAGAAATTGGAATTTCGTTACATTCAATAGTGATTTTTTTTTATCAGCCTTATGGAATTGTACCATGATGTGTTGAAAAATCTTTTCCTGGTTTGTTCCTATATTTTAAAAGAATTTTTGAAATTTCCATACTATATTGTTAATAATACACATTTATCTGTTCATTCCAGGTACTAGTAAATAAATTGGAAACAAACAAAGCTAACATGAAATCAGAAGAAAAGAAAGTTCTTTTGGATACTATAAAGTCTCTTCAAGCAGCAATTGAAGCCACAAGGTCACAGGTAGTTGGAGGAGATGTACCAAAAAGTAAAGTCCAAGTAGACAGGGAAATCCTTGACACAGAATTAGAGTTGTATTCTGTTCAAGCAGAAGGTGGAGACATTACCAAGTTGCGTGTGCAGCTTAATCAGCTGCGAACACAGCAGCAAGCAGCAGGATACCTGCCTTCTCGCTCTCTTAGACATGGGCCATATGGGGCTGCAAGGTAAATATACTTTGTTATATTTGCTATACAAAAAGTACATCATTCTACTCTGGCCTTCTTATACTCATGGATTATATTAGTGTTAGTTCCAAAATAATTACAGTTCATTGAGTAAACTTAGTTTTAAAGATACTGTACAGTATTGTATACTGTATATAAATTAATTTTAAAATATAGTCTCATGACTGCATGGTGAATGTAAGCTATTGAGTTAGTAATTTTTTTTTAACAACCTATAAACCTAAATATTGACATGTCTAGGGGTGGTCACTATATTCGTGGACGTGGAGTTGGTAGCCTGGGACGTGGTGTTCCCCGAGGTCGCGGAAGAGGTGCACGGGGATATGGTCATTCTTTTGCATCAGTGGACAGGCGAACTACGAAGTTAAATGCCTCGGGATTTGAGAGAGAAGACAAAGAAGAAGTCTTAGCTCATTTTAGTGTAAGTTGAACATCTTAAATGTATTTTTCTGGAAGTTCATGTAAGCATTTCAAGGATGTTTCTCAAATATATTTAAAAAACTATTTACTTGGTTTTGGAGTTTGAATTTAATTTTGTGCCATGGGTACGTTTTCACATTTATAGTGTGAAAAAGTCAACAAATAAATTCTTAGGGTGTTAACACTTTCACACTCCCTGCGAGCCACCTGTAACGCACCGAAAGGTAGGCCGAGTATTGCCGGTGAACACACAACGCAATGCCAAACTCTTTAACTTACAATGTTTATACTTAACAATAAGTATATTATACTTACGTCTTATACGTAAGACTAAGCAAAAATTTAGGCTTGATGCAAAGAGCGTCATAACGTATTGTGTGTGTGTTGGTTTATGACGCTGAGAGCGGCATCAGGGTAGGAAAGTTTTAAAATCTTAGCTTGGTGCCCTTGCTTCTATTTTTGCCAATTTAATATTAATGAAGGTATAATGGAGCAAAAATATATATAATAGTGAATGAAAGTCCTAGAAGGAAAAATTTAATTCAAATTTCAGACAATGGTAAGCTGTTTTTTAAAGAAGTTGGTTATTAGTGGAAATGCTACTGAAATTATTAATGCCAAACATGAGAGGGCATTATATGGTAAATATGAAATTACAAATGCTTCTAGCCTTCACTCTGCATGATAGATGTGTTATGGGAAAACTTTATGCTACACAAAATCATGCTTCAATAATTTAATGTTTTATTAGAAAAATATGAATGCATTCCAGAGAAACCTGAATATTACCCTTTCCACTTGTTACTATAAAATAATAGAATTTCTTGTGAACATTATTACAATGTACAACGTTCTTTATGTGGTCCTCAGGTGATAGTTTCTTATCTAGAAACACCCCTAGATCTCTTTCTTTATCAAAATTCTTTAAAGATTTCCCATATAATTTATAGGTTGTGTGGGGTCTGTGTTCTTCTGTTCTACATTCAATAACATGGCATTTATTCACATTAAATTTCATTTGCCAAGTGGTGCTCCATATACTTATTTTGTCCAGGGCATGACAATCGTCTAAGCTTCTTATCCTTTCTATTATCTTAGCATCATCAGCAAACATGTTCATATAATTCTGTATTTCATCTGGTAGATCATTTATGTAGACAGTGAACAGTAGGGCTGATGGATCACCAGTAATCGTGGTTAGTCCTGATTCTTTTCAGCCAAGTGCCTTTCTGTGGGGCGCCCCATCAGCTCTCTGAAGCTTTCCGAACTGATATGTGCTTCGTTAGTTTGGCAGTCATTAGTCACAGGAGTTCTTATGTTTTCCGGGAATCACGAGCCAGAACCTGACCCCCTCAGAGAGGCGCAGGGGGCAATACCCTATGAGCACTTTAAATTTAAAGTATGTCATACTTGCCATCAACCGAGAAAGGACCCAGAAAGGTAGGCAAATCAAAACAGACCACTGTCTGATTAACCTGTGCAATCTACATCCTAAAAGATCAAAATAACTCCCTAGAAAGAAACCAAACAAGCAACAATTTCATGCGATTAGCACTTCTGCTCGTTAGGGGGCAAGGGGGGAGCCGATAGAGCTCCTGTGTTGGTAGCCACTCAAATACCCTCATTATTTGGGGATGAGACTCGGGCGGCTTCAGGGGCTGCCCCATTTGATGCGGGGACAGGCATTTGAGACTTATCCTCCCGTCGAGGCTTCTGGGTCTTTCCAGTGGGTCTCTTTCTTTGATGCCTTTTCCTTGGACTGCCTTTTCTTCAAGAGTGGAGGGCATTGAGCATGGCTCTGCCCCAGAGCCTGGTTTGGAGGCTTCCGGGGCTGGGGGGTTGGCCTGGGGTGCTTTGGCCCCTTTCGATCCTACCTGAGCTTAGGTGCCCTTGCTTCCTTGTATGAGTTTGTTATGGTTCGGCTCCCCTCTTCCCCCTCTTTCTCCTAGGTTCGATTCCAGGTTCCCTTGGGTTCCGCGGCTTCGTCCTTCCAGAAGTTTTCTACTTTGATTTTCCCTGTGGAGGTTCAGGAGGCCCTCCTGAACCAGGAGGTGCCTACCTCCTGCAAGACCCAGATTTTGCCTCTGTGATGTACCTGATCTCTTGAGTTTGGGTCTTCATTCCCGTATTGGGTGTGTTATGAGGGTTTTTCTTTAATATATAGTTTGGTATGACTTAATTTAATGTAATTACCTAAGCGTAGTTTCACGGTTTAGAGCTACACTTGTTGTAATGTTCTTCCTAGTACTGTTTTATAACGTTTGAAACTGCTGATGGTTTGGCCTCCGCCACCACCTCACTTAACTTGTTCCAACTGTCTACCACTTTGTTTGCAAAAGGAAACTTTCTAATATTTTTCACCTTTTGTTTCCTTCGCTTAACACTTTCCCTCACCCCGCGCGCCACCCCTCGACAGGGCGATATGGGCCCCAGAGTGTCACGGAAGCGCGCGTTAATTCCGAAAAGTGTATACTCTCTTCAACTTTGTCACCTCAATTCTCCTTCTACGAGATTAAATTTGGTATCATTGTGTTCGCAATAAAATTCTCTACAGCACTAAATGCATATAAACTCCAAAAGCCCGGCTAATTACCCGCAGCAAACAGAGAAAGTGCGAACGAGTTACCCGGGAGCGCGCAAACGGGATAAAATGTTTTCACTATTTTCACTCTGGTCACCTCAATTTTTGTCCTAGGTCTTTCATTTTGGTCTCAATGGGTTCGTAATAAAATTCTCTAGAGGAACATTAGCCTATAAAAAAAAAACCTGGTCACGCTCCAACCGCCGACGAGTTGAAGACGGGCCACGTGTTAGCCGTGAGTGAGTGCTCAGAGGCCTTCCTGCTACACTCCCAATTCCTACCCTTTTCAAGCCTTTCTTTCGCAATTTTCTTCCTGGAAGGGCCTTGTTCATGATTACTATCCATCGTGGAGTAAGCGTAGATAGTTTCTAAAGCCGCAGTAAGAAATATAGCCACGGAAAATAGCCGAAATGTTCACACGTTTGAGATGCGAGGGGAAGCGACATTGGTCACAACAGTGGAGCAAAGACAATGGGCCCACGGCGTGTGCCAAGCAGCCTGAGGGCGACGAGGCTCAACAAAGAAAATGGGAAGACATCGGCGCACATTTTAAAACCAGTCCCCAAAAAATCGGATAAAAACCTGATTTTTGGCGAATTTTTAAAGTGGATGACGCAATGCTGCGTCATCCCCGGCATTACCGCCAGTAAACGGATGACGCAATGCTGCGTCATCCCCGAGCGAAAGTGTTAAAGCCGTGACCTCTTATTCGCGAAGTTGCTGGTTTCAGGAATTTGTCTTTGTCAGTTTAGTTAATTCCTCTTAGTATTTCGTAAGTGGTAATCATATCACTTCTCTCTTCTATCTTCTCATTTTGGTACGTTTAATGCCCCCTCTCTCTCCTCGTAACTTTTGTTTTTCAATTTCAGAAGCCATTTTGTAGCATGCCTTTGCACCTTTTCCAGTTTATTTATGTGCTTCTTGAGATTTGGGCACCATACAACTGTTACATATTCCAATTTTGGTCTCACAAAAGTCATGAACAGATTTTTAATGTTTCACTATCCATATATTTAAAAGAAAGTTTGAAGTTCGAAAGCGACTCATACGCTCCTCACAGAATGATGTGTGTATGTTCCTCTGGCAATTGCTTTCTGTCCAAAAACCCACTCCTAGGTCTTGTTCTTTATTAGAGTTCTGTAATTTCTTTCCACGTAATTTGTAAGTTGTTTCCACATTCCGATTCCACATTCCGTTTCCACATTTCCGATTCCACATTCCATAACATGGCATATATTCACATTGAATTCTATTTGCCACTTGATGCTCCAAGCACTTATTGTATCCAGATCAATTTGAAGGTCATTTCAATCGTCTGCATCTCCTATCTTACCCAGTAACGTAACATCATTCACAAACATGTTCATATAATTCTGTATTCCTTCTGGTAGATCGTTTATGTAGACGATGAACATTACCGGTGCAAGAACTGAAACCCTGAGGTACTCCACTCATGACATTTCTTCAGCCCAAGGGAGCCGGTCGGCCGAGCGGACAGTGCGCTGGACTTGTGATCCTGTGGTCCTGGGTTCGATCCCAGGCGCCGGCGAGAAACAATGGGCAGAGTTTCTTTCACCCTATGCCCCTGTTACCTAGCAGTAAAATAGGTACCTGGGTGTTAGTTGTCACGGGCTGCTTCCTGGGGGTGGAGGCCTGGTCTAGGACCAGGCCGCGGGGACACTAAAAAGCCCCGAAATCATCTCAAGATAACCTCAAGATAAGATAATACATTGCTTCTGATTACTGCCCTCATTTTTCTGTAAAAAAAATTCATCCATGTTAAGAACCTCTGTCACACCAGTGTGTTCCAGTTTCCAGGCACTTTGTGCACACAGTACGGTGCTGAAGTTGTGGCCAGAGGCTGATTTGGATTCTTCCAACCTCCATGCTACGGCTTCATTCGGACTGTGCCCCTGTGGTTCGTTTTCTGAACCTGTGAGAGACATTTTGGTCCATTACCTTTTGGAGCTAGATGTTTTGGGGAGCTTGTCTGAATTTCAGGGTTTAATTCTCAGTATTATTCACATTTAGGGAGTGTCCAATGCTCTAGCAGACAGTCTATCCTGTCTTGAGAATGGTCCAGGACAAACCAAAACGTCGTCGTCCCTTCACTTTCTAGTGTGTGGTTTGGTCAACAGTCTATCCTGGTTCCTTCCAATATCCACGGGGTGAATCATTAACACTGCTTCCTTTCTTTGGTATTGCAAGACATTCAGGCTCACTGATGTGGATCTCTTTGCATTGATTTGGATCCAGCACCTTTCTCTTGATGAGGCTGTTGTTCCTCGATCACAAGGCTCTCGCATTGGATTCCTTTAGCTGAACTGATGGGGGTTTGTGACGTTCCCCAGCTCAGCGGTTGCTCTGGGTCCTGGCCAGGTTGGGGTACTAACAAAGGATGGTGGTCCTTCTGCCCCATT